TTATAGTCCAACAGGTTTATTTGAAATCACAAGCTTTTGGAGCGCTGCTCCTTTGTCAAGTGAAGTCTCTTCACCAGACAAAGGAGCAGCGCTCCGAAAGCTTGAGACTTTATATTTACCTGTTGGACGATAACCTGATGTCGTGTGACTTATGACTTTATCCACCCAAGTCCATCCTGGAAATGTGGTGGAGCTCCTCTGTTCGTTGTCACGTTCAGAGTTAGCAGTCTGTTTGAAACACAGCCTTGCCCTGCCGTTAATTCCTTAAATGCTTCTGCAGGGCAGTCGTTTGTCCTTCTGGCATAAGGCAGCTAGTTGTCAAGCAATTGTTAAAACACTCTGCCTACGTAGTTTTGACTCCTTCTTTTCCCGGGGATAGTTCATTGGCATATTGCTTTTAAGTCATTTCTCACGTTTTGTCCTTTTACCTCATGAAACAGTAAGAGTTATTGCTGATGCTTTGAATCAGTGAACAGTTTTGAAAGCTCTGAAGTTTACAGTATCACACTACCAAAATGCATGGCCTCATGTTTTCCCACTTTATGTTCCGATTTTTGCCTGTTCTTTTAATCTGTCTGTATTCATCTGCAGATTCTGTGCATCATCACTGCTCACCTTCCCGCCTATTTCTGTCATCTGCAAACTTGCCTATAATGCCTTCACTTTGCTCATCCAAGTCATTAATATGTATTTTCAATAGTTGTGGTCCCAGCACTGGTCCTTTTCCGCACTCCACAAATTACATCCTGAAAAGAACCCTCTCATCCCAACTCTCTGTTTTGTATTGGGAGCAACTGTCTGGGATATTTTGGTAAGGGGCTTAGAACATCTACAGAGTGGTGAGCTCATTAAGCCAGCAAGAGAAAACAAAATGGAAAGGGAGAGCACTGACAAACCTAACAATGGAAAAGTGAGGATGAAATGACGGTGGCGGTTTTCCAGCTCCTTTCTGCAGATTGTGGAAATAACAACATTCTATGCCATTGTACCATTTCAAACCGAGGATTCCAGCTCACCAAGGCGACCTCTCTGGCAAATAATTTGTTGTTTTCTTTGCACTCCCAGTTCTCAAATCAAATCAGCATTTGTGCCCAGTTGTGATTCATTATTTTATGAAAGAGAAATAGAAGATTTTATCGTCAGGAAAAATATTTGGTATAATTGTGTTATGTTATACCTTAACAGATTGCAAATGGTATTTTTCTTTGAAATTCTAGTTAAAACACTTATGTCTCCAATAGATTCTTTCATCTTGATTCCCGACACTGTATGAGCCACCAGATTTATATCTCCCAATTGTTTTCAGAGATTAAGGCGAACTATAAAAGCATGTTATCAGCACTTTCACCTCTGTGTGTTCACTTATTTGTTTAAATTATATCCTTTAACACATTTTTCTGGATATTATTGAGAGGTTAAAGGTTACCACACTTTGATTTCTTGTTTTCTTTGTATCTGAAGCAGTTGTTAGATGTCGAAACGTGTTTGATCATTTCTGCCCCGCATTTCTGTGCAATCCTCTTGCTGTTTTGTTTCAGCAGATTATGTCTTACTGAGACACTTATAAATCAGCAGTGTAAAAGAATCTGCACAGTCCTTCCATGGAGGCCTGCAAGTTGTACTCACCTTCATGTGTTTGACAAACAGTTCTATTCATTTTTCTTCTGTCCCCCGTTTGACTGTTTGAGTGGGAGATAAAGTTGCGATTCTGAAATAAGAAAAGGTTAAAATTTTTGATGGATACCTTGCATCAGACGAGACTAGATCCTGAGTTTTCATCCTAACTGATGCTGATGCTGATGGATTTGATTCCTGTATAAGTCCTTTGAGACATTTTTTCTTTATGTTGAAACTGCTGTATAAAAGTAAGTTGGGGGAGGTGAAATAAATTAATTTGCAAAGAGGCGCAGCCTTGCATTGATTTCCCTGAGGTTAAACAGTGCCACAGGCATGGCTTTCTTCATTAATGGAATTGAAGAATGGTACACAGGTCATGACCCTCAGCTCAATCTGCTGCCAGGGAATCAATATAAGCCTGCACTACATGAAGAAATTTCCCTTTGTCTTTATTACGAGGACGTCATTGTAAACAATGATCGAGTTGAACAAAATGCATGTCCTTATGGTTCGTGTTTCTTATCCAGTGTAGTACCTTGCAAAACTCTCGTACTAAATACTGGCTTTCGAGCGGATGCAGTAACCCGTTGAGGAAGTGAGATGTAGAATTATCATAGAATCCCTACAGTGTGGAAGCAGGCCTTTTGGCCCATCAGGTCAACACCGACCCTCTGAAGAGCATCCCTGACCGAGCCCATTACCCTATTCCTGTAACCCTGCATTTCCCCTAGCTAATCCACCTAGCCTGCACATCCCTGGATACAATGGGCAATTTAGCATGGCCACTCCACCTGTAACCTGCACATCTTTGGACTGTGGGAGGAAACCGGAGCACCCGGAGGCAACCCACGCAGACATGGGGAGAATGTGCAAACTCCACACAGACAGTCGCCTGAGGGTGGAATCGAACCCGGGCCCCTGGCGCTGTGAGGGAGCGGTGCTAATATCTCAGGACTGCGGAAATTAAATGTGAACGAGCGACATCCACGACGAAATATTGCAAGGTGCATTTTCCAAGCTTCCAATGCATTCACAATGTGTTGCCACCAATGGTATCTTCATTGACAGTGTCCAAGAATATTGTAACAATTGGGCAGGATGTTGTCACACTGGTGCTTTGAGCACATGCCCTGCGTTTTGCTGCAGTAGTCAGAAACCCTGTCAGAAAGGCAAAAGGCAAATCTTGAGCCTTTATTTGCCGGCAGCAGGAGCTGTTCAGCAATAGTCAATCTCCAAATGAGCTGCCTGTAGGCCCCAGTGTCCTTAACTGCAAGGTTGGACGTTCTAGAGCCTCAGGAACACCTTCAGGAGAGGTGGTGACTGCTGAGGCTGAGGGGAGAGCCCAGGGCCTGGATTGTGCGGGTAAGTACAAACAGAAAATCACGGGGTTAGGGGTTCAGAGGGGAAACCTTTCCAGGGAGACCCTGGGGCCTCAGGAGAATTCCTCTCCTGCCTATTCCAGGTCACTACAGGGGGAGTGGGGTTTTGCAGCAGTGAAATGCCGCAAAGTTTTCTTTACTTGGCCCTTTCATTTTGCAAATTGACCGCACGCCCTCCTGTGGCATTTCGGATCCCCCTCGCAGCCTGGTGTTTCCCCCTTGACCCCTATTCCTGCCCCGTCAGGTTGGGGTTGGGGGGTGTGTGGGGGGTAAAATTCAGCCCTGTGTCTCAGCGGAATTGTGGATATAGCCCAGCAGAATGCTACGGCTCAGCGTTCACAGTAAGAAATAAGTGGGAGCACGGACCGATGCAGGGTGTTGAACTGGGACCCCGTTGATGGGTCCTTATAACCCGTTGTTTCTTTTTTCCTTTCAGTGGATAACAACGAGAGCAGCTGCCTGCAAGGCCCCCACTGTCCCGAACTCTGCAGCTGTGTCGACACGGTGGTTCGATGCAGTAACAAAGGATTTCGCACCTTGCCAAAAGGCATTCCCAAAGATGCAACTGAGCTGTGAGTCCGAGCTTCATGTGGTGTTTTTCTTTTCTTCGTAGTGTTTTTTTTAAGCCAAATTTCCTAACCTTAAGTTTTGGTAGAGAACAGAACACTTTTTTTATCTATGTTGCCTCTTTACACCTTCCATCAGCCATGGTACACTGGTCAGACTGTCACTCTGAGAAGGAAGGTTGTGGCTTGAGGACCCATCCCCAAAGGCTTCACACAACAAGCAGTACCAAGAAAGTGCTGTACTGTCAGAGGTGTGATGGTATCATAGAGTTTTACAACACAGAAACAGATCCTGCAGTCCAACTTGTTCGTGCTGACCAGCTTTCGGACATTAATCCACACCCATTGCCAGCATTTGGCCCATATCCCCCTGAACCCTTCCTGTTCATATACCCATCCAGATGCCTCTTAAATGTTGTAACTGTACCAGCCCCCACCACTTCCTCTGGCAGCTCATTCCATACACACACCACCCTCTGCATGAAAAAGTTACTTCTTAGGTCCGTTTTAAATCTTTCCCCTCTCACCTGTGCCCTATAGTTTTGGACTCCCACCACAAGAGAAAAGACTTTGACTATTCACCCTATCCATGCCCCTCCTGATTTTATAAAATTCTATGAGGTCACCCCTTAGCCTCCGATGCTCCAGGGAAAATAGCCCCAGCCTATTCAGCCTCTCCCTATAGCTCAAACCCTCTGACCCTGCCTACATCCTTGTAAATCTTTTCTGAACCATTTCAAGTTTCACAACATCTTTCCTACAGCAGGGAGGCCAGAACTGAATGCAGTATTCCAAAAAGTGGCCAAACCATTGTCTTGTACAGCCACAACATGACGTATCAACTCCCGTATTCAATGCACTGACCAATAAAGGCAAGTGTACCAAATGTCTTCTTCACTACCCTGTTTACCTGCAACTCCACTTTCAAGGAACTATGAACCTGTGCCCCAAGGTCTTTGACGTGAGTCCATAAACCAATCTGTCCTCTAAGGTAATCATAACAGATTGAATGCCAGTATTCAAAGAAGAGATGGGGACTCCTCCCCAATGTTCTGGTCAATATCTATGCCTCAATCAACAGTGCAAAAGCAGATAATTTGATCGCTGGCACCTATTACTGTATACAAATAGGCTGCCACACTTTCTATAGAGTGAGCATGACTACGAGCAAATTAAATACTTTGAATTATAAATGCTTGGAAAGACTTGAGGCTACGTAAATGCAATTCTTCCTTTTCTTTCTTCCAGGCCAGTTTTCAATGCCTAGTAGTAGTCACTAGATAGGCCTAAGACAAAGCAAAGGTGTAGGAGGATTGGTAACAGTTATCTACCTTAAACAACCCTATTCCAGTACCATTTAGTGGTTGAGATAGCCAATACTGTAAGAGGCTGCAGTAGCTACTGGAAAAATACCACAGACTCCTCAGGTTCAGCACAGGTTTAAGCTGCTTTCACCTCCTTTTCTCAGTTGAATGGGAAGACCAGATAGTACAGAGTCATGCAGAACCAAGTTCAGTTTCCAATCCATGCTGAGTTACCAAAGGCTGGCCTGGGTCAGACAGAATGAAGCGATAGTCTAGGCTTCCTGACCTTGATGACTATCCAATGAACCATACTGGAATGCCCAAGTGCGTGGCTAGGGTTAGGATCACCTACACTGCCCCCGATACTGTGCCATTGTAATTCATCAAAGATAATATATGAAGAGTATCATTTAAGGTGGCATGGTAGCTCAGTGGTTAGACTGCTGCTGCATGGCACCGGGAACCCGGGTTCGATTACAGTCTCGGGCGACTGTCTATGCAGAGTTTGCACATTCTCCCTGTGTCTGCGTGGATTTCCTCCGGGTGCTCCAGTTTCCTCCCACTTTGCAAAGATGTGCCAGTTAGGTAGACTGGCCATGCTAAATAGTCCATAGAGTCCAGGGATGTGCAGGTTGGGTGGTTTAGCCATGGAAAATGCAGGGTTATAGGGACAAGGTAGGGGGTTGGGACTGTGTGGGATGCTCTTTGGAGGGTCGGTGTAGACACGATGGGCTGAATGGCCTGCTTCCGCTCTGTCGGGATTCTATGATTCTCACTTGAAATCTGCTTTCCTTCGTTGCCGTGAACTCTGCACCACTTCTGTTTTCCCTCCCGACAACCTCCTGAATCACCGATAAAACTGAAACATACACCCCTCCCCCACCTTTCTTCCTTCAGATTGTTAACTTAAACCAGATGTTGGTACATTATAACATTCAATGTGAACTTGTCGTTTTATCCATTCCTAATTGCCTTTGAGGTGGGTAGCATTCAGAGGGCAGTTAAGTGTCAAGATTATTACAGGGCATGAAGCTACAGATAGGTCATAAATGTCCTCATCTAAAGGAAATTAGAGCAACAGATGACTTTTGCAACAAATAAATGCATAGTTCTGTAGTTACCAAACCAAGCTTTTGATTTGCTTGTTAATTTATTGAATCTGAACCCATGTCTGTAGAGTTTGATGACATTACCACCATACCACTTATTCCTTGATTAATAGCCTCTGGTTTGGGCTATGTAAGTTGTGTGCTAATGAAGACTGTATTCAGATTACTGATAAGGGTCACAATAATTACAACTTTGCCTTTTGACCTCTGAGAATTGGGTTTGAACCCATTTGGAGTAATGAAAGAAAGATGTCCAGTTTTCTGTTTCTAAATCTCAAAGTGGCAGTATTACCTCATCACATAACTTCACAGGAATTGTGGAATCATTCTGACAACTGAATTTTCAGGAACGCCAACTGTTTCGATAATGAAGAGTTAGAGTCAGATTAGACGTAAGGAGATATCTGCACTTGGATCCTCATGCACTGAGTGGGAAACAGTGAGAGGCTTAAATTTGACATTGTGTAGTTTCCAAAGGGCAATGGGCCTTAGATAAGCAACGACTCAATGACATTCGGTTGAGTCGTTACACAAATATGGCACCTTCCATAACGGCTGTCAAAAATTACCGTGCAGGAGGATCATTGTAATGACTGCGTTGGCATAATGTGCTTTTCTTTTCATATTTCCTCATTCCCGTTCCAACCCTACTTAAGAGCCAATGGACATCCTTTCCACAAATGGTTGATGTAATGATTGGCCAAGTGGATCCACTGAGTATGAGTTCCCTGATTGGGGCTGTCAGGGGCCAATCAGGGAGCCCTGGCTGACAGATATAAACAGGATCCTCCTCACTCTAGAGACCAGCTCTGAACTAGCTGGTCAGAGTCCATGTGCAGTGCATGTGTAAATAGAGGCTGACTTGGTGTTGCGATATCAGCCTCTGTGGAATTATATCAGTTGCTTATTTCCTAAAGGCAAAATTTGGCACATTTGTAAGGCTCCCTGTCAATCTCCTGTAGATTGTGAAGGGTCGGAATTGGGAGTAAACAAGAATATCTAAAAAAAACGAGCAGATCATAGGCTTCCTCAAGGCTGCTCCACTATTTAATATGATCATGGCTGATCTTCTCCCTCAGCTCCACTTTTCCACTGCTCCCCATATTCCTTGATTTCTCTGAGAGACCAAAAATCAGTCTCTCCCAGCCTGAAATATATTCAAAGACACAGTATCCACAATTTTCTGGGGTAGAGAATTCCAAAGACCTACAGTTCTTTGATGGAAGAAGATCTTCCTCATCTTAGTCCTAACTTGAGCTGGAATCCTGGCATGGTCCCTTACCGTCTGATTGACTTGTTCCTCATTTACCTCTTAACAGTAATTCTTCCTAAAAACCAATTTAAACTTCTTATTTAGGGCCACTGCATATCGCTAAGCAAGGTAGCAAATGTTCTGAGTGTTTTATGGAGTATTCCGTACACGGACCATGACCTTTCTTTCTGCCTGTTTGATAGTTCTTGTTACAAAAGCATTAACATCTTTCTCATTGAAGGTAATGACTGTTCCTTTTGGGAAAGCTTATCGCCATTGTGCATGTTCCCATCAACATTGATGCCGTTGTCTTGCCTTGCAGATACTTGGAAGGAAATCAGCTGACTTCAGTCCCCAAAGAGCTGTCTAACTACAAACATTTATCACTCATGTAGGTGACTTAGACTCTCTATTGTTATTGCTGTAACAATGCTGCGAAATGTTGGTAACATCATAATGAATGAATCATTCTTTATCTAATGACGGGGAAAGTCATGTATGACAGGAAGTAAGTTGCATTACACTAATTCCATTTTATTATGACCTGATTCCGTGGATGTTGATTGGTTTCTAATTCTGTACGAGGATGCATAATCAATCCTGTCCATGTAGTTTAGCGAAGTAGAGAAATATAATGATGCTGCGATAACTCAAGGGGCTCAGTGGTTCAGATGTGAGGGTCAGCTGTTACACTGCTTTGGGGAGATGTTACATAGAGAGAAATCGATGGCAGCAGTGTCACAGTATCTTGGCACTATCTGCTCTCTGTCACCTTGTTTCAAACCAGCCAACACTCAGCCTATCTCTGCCTTCATTCCTGTTTGGCAGGCGATGGACGGGGAGCATCATTACCATTTCTAATCTGATCAAAGATGTACCAGAATGAAGCAACTCTTTAGATTAAATTCTCTCAAGACTGCTAAGAATGTTCCTCCTACTCCCCCTTCTTTGCCCAATGGCATATCTGACTCACGATCTCCATCATGGTTGTGGCAAGAAGTTAGGGACATCTCATCTAAATCCACCCTGTCACACCCAAGACACTTGGGTTCGCTCAACAAGGCAATGTCAGGGGAATTATACAATGCAGCTATCGAAAGCTAATGACCAGGGAACACAGGACGCTGGCTGTTAGCTTACCTTATCCCATCCCAGATCAAGCTGGCAACAAAAAAGGCACCAAGAGCCCACGTGCCAGTCTGTGTCCTGCATTCCTGACTCCACCGACCTTCCTGAGGATGGGCAGATGGACAGGAGTGGGTGGGGCTGGTGTATGAGGAAATGAAGGCCTCTCCTTGTGACTTTAGCATATTGAGGCGATTCGGAAGCTTAATACAAGCTTTCCTTCTGACTTCGGGGCAGGTAGGAGCTCTGTGAAGCCGACCAGTTCCAGCCCAAGGGAAGCATCAGCCACCAAAACTGAAACCATTTCATTCGATATAAAAAGTGAGAATTTGGGCCAAAGTACTGGAGAGTAACAATGATGTTTCAGTTCTTGCTTTTAACCTTGTCCTACCTCAGTTAGAGATCTCCATTCACTCTGGACTCTTTAAAGTTGAAGATGCTCTCCATGTTTTTAAGATCATGCACAAAGAGCAGCCAACATTTTGGCTGCTGGTTTGGGCTAGAATGGGGAGTCCTGCCTCTGTTTCCATCTGCAGGAGCACAAATTTGGTGGCAAACCTGTCTCCAGAGCCATTAAGACCCCAATCCCATGAAAATCCCTCTTCAAAGCTGGTTGGCAATGGAGGCCGGATTGAGATGAGGATCAATTCCGCTCCCTGAAGCTCTCCTCCGATGGAAAAATCCAGCCCATTGGAGGGAACGCGACAACCTGGTGGTATTATCGCTGTACTGTTAATCCAGAAACCATGGTAACATGCTGGGGACCTTGGTTTGAATCGCACCATGGCAGATGGTGGAATTTGAATTCAATTAAAATCTGGAATTAAGAGTCGAATGACAACCATTGTCAATTGTCAAAAGAAACCCATCTGGTTCACTAATGTCCTTCACGGAAGGAAGCTGCTGCCCTTACCTGGTCTGGCCTACATGTGACTCCAGACCCACTGCCATGTTGTTGACTCTTAACTGCCCTCTGGGCAATTAGGGATGGGCAATAAATGCTGGTGTAGTCAATGACGCCCTCATCCTGTGAACATAGAACATTACAGCGCAGTACAGGCCCTTCGGCCCTCGATGTTGCGCCGACCTGTGAAACCAATCTGAAACCCATCTAACCTAAACTATTCCATTATCATCCATATGTTTATCCAATGACCATTTAAATGCCCGTAAAGTTGGCGAGTCTACTATTTTTGCAGGCAGGGCATTCCACGCCCTTACTACTCTCTGAGTAAAGAACCTACCTCTGACATCTGTCCTATATCTATCACCCCTCAATTTAAAGCTATGTCCCCTCATGCTAGCCATCACCATCCGAATGAATTTTTTAAAAAGTGGTCAGAGAAAAGGAGATGTGTTGCGTTCGACAGCGCCTGAAAGCCTTTAAATAAATTACATCCCAACCAAAGAACAGCATCATTTCCAAGCAGAAAGTTGGAGAGCAATTTATGCATTATGAATTATAAAATCTGTTGTCTACATAAAGCTTTGATTATACCCCTGTTAGTTCCTTTACTTAAAACTGTAATCCAGGATTACAGAGTTTGTCTTATTTACAGTTGTTGCCAGAAATTATTCATGTTGCAGTCACAAACATTCTCCGGCTGATAGATGAGAGGAGATTTGCATCTGTGCACTATGTAGGACAGAATGATAAATGCAGTTTTAAAGAGCCAGCTCCACAGAGTCTTACAGCACGGAAACAGACCCTCCGGTCCAACCAGTCCATGAGTTTGTTACATGGCACTTGGGAACACTCCTACCCTAGTGATGTAATGGGGAATATGTAGTGAGGGGTGATCATTTTGGTGGCCTAATATTGAGCATTGTGCAGTGCTTGGCTGTGTGACAGAGGGAATAAGTTGGTTAGTATTACCCATGAGATTGTTCTCCGCCAGCCTCTGTAATTAGTGGGGAGCAGGTGAATACTTGCCCTGGTTGAACCTCTTTAGCTCCTATCCCCTGTGGCTTTCCTCATTTTCTTCTGGTCTAACCTTAATTTCTCAGTCATTACCTGGAAAAGAAGTAAGATTTTCCGCTGGTTTTTTTTCCCCTACTTGAGCAATTTTTAAGGTGAATGCATTTCACAGGCCTGGGACACTGGAATGTCCTTATGGGCTTTATTACTCAATAACTGCCTCATAATGTGAAAGAAACCTTGGTTCCAGGATCAGTAGTTGGAAAAGAATTGGCCCAAATCTTGCTGGAGCAGCGTATCTTGAAGCGTGTGCCATTAGTCAAACATTTTTCTGCATATTTCCAGCTTCAAAGCTTTTTTTTCCCTGTAACATTTCTGTGACAAATGGGCTAAGAAGATCTCATCTGGTACCTTTAGTGAATGGTAAGACCAACAGTCCATCTCTTTAAAAACAAAGAGATTTACTGTTTGAGAAAGAAACAGGATGAGCCAAGAAGTAATTCCTTTTATTCATTTTGTGGGATGTGGGTGTCGCGGGCTGGGCCCTAGTTGCCCCTTGAGAAGGTGGTGGTGAGCTGCCTTCTTGAACCACTGCAGTCCATGTGCTGTAGGTTAACCCACAATGCCCTGAGGGAGGGAATTCCAGGATTTTGACCTAGCAACAGTGAAAGAATGGCAATATGTTTCCAAGTCAAGATGGTGAGTGGCTCGGAGGGGAACTTGAAGATGGTGGTGTTCCCCATGTATCTGCTGCCCTTGTCCTTCTAGATGGAAGTGGTCATGGATTTGGAAGGTGCTGTCTGAGGATCTGATGTGAATGTCTGCAGTGCATCTTGTAGATGGTACACACTGCTGATACTGAGCGTCGGTGATAGAGGGAGTGGATATTTGTGGATGTAGGGCCAATCAGTGAGCTGCTTTGTTCCAGATGGTGTCAAGCTTCTTAAGTGTTATTGGGGCTGCACTTGTCCAGGCAAATGGATCGCACTCCTGACTTGTGCCTTGTAGATGGTGGACAGGCTTTGGGGAGTCAGGAGGTGAGTTACTTGCTGCAGGATTCCTAGTCTCTGACCTGCTCTTGTAGCCACTGCGTTTATGTGGTGAGTCCAAGTTGAGTTTCTGATCAATGTTAACTCCCAGGATATGAATAGTGGGGGATTCAGTGATAGTAACACTGTTGAACGCCAAGGGGCGAGTAAATGAAGTAAATTGAAGTCATACAGTCATACAGCATGAAAACAGACCCTTCGGTCCAACCAGTCCATGCTGACCATAATCCCAAACTAAACTAGTCCCACCTGCCTGCAAATGACCCACATCCCTCCAAATGTTGTTTTTATTTATGTACTTATCTAAATGTCTTTTAAACTTTGTTACTGTACCTGCACCCACCACTTCCTCTGGCAGTTCATTCCACACATGAACTATCCTCTGTGTAAAAAAAGTTGCCCCTCTTGTCTTTTTCAAATCTTTTTCCTCTCATCTGAAAAGTATGCACCCTTGTCTTGAAAACCCCCACCTCAGGGAAAAGACCCTTGTCATTCACCTTATCTATACCCCTTATGATTTTATAAACTTCTATAAGGCCACCCCTCAACCCCCTATTGCTCCAGTGAAAAAAAGTCCCAGCCTATCGAACATTCCTTATACCGCAAACCCTCCATTCCTGGCAACATCCTGGTAAATCTTTTCTGAACCCTCTCCAGTTTAATTCATCAAATTAAACAAGGAATTGAAAAACTCGATTAAGTGTGAGAGTGAGAAAGAAGAAAGACAGAAGGAAAAATAGAAATTAAATTAAAATCTTGAGGAAGTTTACACGTGCGAGAGTGAGACATGGCAGCTTAGAATGCACCCTTTATAGGTTGGATAAGTGGATTTTGCACGGTTAATTATCATATTGTTTAGAAATACCTGCTTTGTTACATCTAAACTCTAACTTTCTGCAGAATGTTTGTAATAATCCCATGAGGTTTTGGACATAATGGGGATGTTGAGGTCATGCTGCCATTTTATGTGTTTTTATAGCTTCCAGTTCAAAGTTTGAAATAATTGCATTTCAGATCACGAACTTCATCAAGCGTGTTTCTTGTCTTTCTCCATGTGGCTGGTCGACAGATGAATTGTTAGTCACAGCCGTTGCAGAGCGATGAATGTGGCATCCTGAGATCTATATTAACGTAACAATTAGTTCCTAATACTTTACAAACATGTGGTGCAGTAAGGTGGTGTCATCACTGGGAAATTGTGGCAATTGGTAACTGATAGTGTATTACTTCCTTGCTTGATCATTGCTCATCTGCACATTAATGTTGCCTTATCTGTACAATCACTTTCTATTTTCCCCCAGCCAATAATGCCCAAATGATGTTCAATACAGCTACTTGTACCTTGTTTCTGATAAATCCACAGTGCTATTGTTTGAGAGCGAATCATTGCTTTACTGTCACAGATTTGTTTTAGTTGGATACAATAGATGATGCTATTTGTTGTTGTGTTTTTGCAGAGATTTAAGCAACAACAGTATTAGTATGCTGAGCAATTCTAGCTTCAGCAATATGTCCCAGCTCTCAACGCTGTGAGTATATGATCCAGCCACTCTGTTACTTCAAATATCTGAATATTCTGACTTCAGTTGTTGGTGTGTACATGTAATCCAGTTGTTCCCAGTGGTGTGATTCATTGTTGCTACTGTGTATGTTATCGTTATAATTAATGTGTCTCCTGATATTGCCAGTTGTACTATTACTGACAGCATTAATATGCGTGGGGGCTACATTGATATTAATGCTATGATATTTTACTATTGTTACCACAAATTTATACATATCGGAAGTACTGCTCATAGTTGGGGATAAATACATGGAATTACTCTAACTGTAGAGCTGTGCGAGGTAAATAGTTTGCCTCTCAAATTGTTTGTCAAGAGCTCACCTGGTAACTGGATTGATACACCAGCTTTCTGTTTGTGAGCCTCACTCTCAAAGTCTGGTTCAGGATGAGGGTGGTGTTGGCCGTATGTAACGTGAGCTTGAGCATCCGTAAGAGTAGGAGGAAGGCACTAAAGCTGATGTTATCCAGGGGTTAACATTGCCAGAATGCAACTGCAGTGCCTTTTACTTGAACCAGCCCACTAGACGAAAATAGAGGTATTTCAGACAGCAAATAAGAATCCTATTAATCATTAGTGAAGAATGAAGAATAATACGTCAGAACATAGAAGTGTCTGGTTCTATTTAAAATTTTTAGAAGCTGTGGCCCCCCAGATCATAACTTAACTCATTCTTAATGTATATTTTGTCAGAATTCTGAGCTACAACCGATTGAGGTGCATTCCCGTTCATGCTTTCGACGGTCTGAAATCTCTGAGGTTGTTGTAAGTATTTAGCAAAGTGTTACTTGAAACAAACTTTGTGTGTGAGGAATGGCCAATGTCGACTTTACCCTGGCTTCACAATGTGGAGCGCCGTTGCTGAGAGTCCCAAACTCTGGAAGGCCCTCAGACCTTGCTCCCCTTACTCCAATTCTCTACCTCTGCCCACCCCTTCCAATTCACTCACTTTCCACATGCCATTTCCATCTCGCAAACCTGAGTAACCATTTTAATTTTGTCCCACATTGTTTCTGGAAAATATTTTATATTCCCGCTTGACTTGCATAGATTAGGTCACTCTGGACAAAGTGTGAAAGGTAATCCCCAAAGAACATTAGTGAACCAGCATTAGGTTGGGATATTACTGAACTCAGTTCACAACATGATGAGACTTGAAAAATGTGCAGTAAAAATAATTAAAGCAATTTTTCACACAGGATAAACAAGGTATAAACCTAGGAGAAGTGAAGTGTGATGGAGCAGCATTCACTTTTGATATCACTGCCTAACATTCTCTCTGACTAAGGCATGTTTGCTCTCTTAGTACAAAGTCATTTTAACTTCATGATGTGTTCGTGCCTTGTAGCAGGTTTTAGCCTGACTGTTGCCACATCTGATGGATGGATAGGAATGTGTGTTACTCCTTGTGTACTACCCTGGACCCAAGGCAATAGCCCCTATACTGGTGCCTTTGGCTATTCCCTGCATTACACTCCTGTGCTATTTGGTCTGTGCCATAACATGGCGTGTGCATTATCCTGTGTATGCTACAACCCAAGCTATATTTGATCCTGTGTATGATTCACATCGGTCATGTAAACGTAGCCAGAGTTACTCTTCCCATTTTCAAAGATCCCTTGCACTACAAACCAGTTAAAGATAACAGAAGAAGTTCTTCCTTCATCTTTTCAAAGGATGTAATAGGTATTTTCAACTTTAAAAAATAATACTTCCAATGTGTAACATGGTTCTGTTTGATTTTATACAAAGCCATTGATATAATTTTAAAAGATGTTTTTTTAAACACAGGACCCTACACGGTAATGACATCTCCACCATTCCTAACGGAGCATTCAGTGGTTTATCGTCACTATCTCACCTGTAAGTAAATAAGGGCCTTTTCTTCTTCAAAGATGTAACCCATCTGAAGAAAACTGAGTATACTATCCTTAAATGGCAAGAGATATAAGTAAGATTGAAACACTCCAAAGATGTGCTGCACGATATTTGAGATACACTCGTGTTACAATGATCAATGATATGGAAAACGAATCACCACAGCATAGGAGAGGACAGATCGCCTGACCATGTTGAATATAACATGGAATGGACTGGTTGGAATTGACGAGAACAAGTACCTAGTGCCCTCCAGCAATAACAAGACACAATGTAGATAGCCACACAAGCTACGAAGATAAATTATATTGACGAGAAAATATCAACAATCTTTCTTCCCACAGTGGAACAAGCTGCCAAAGGAAATATTCCCAGCCTCATCCCTTGAAAACTTCAAGACTTATCGCTAGGTTATATCCGTTTATGAGTTTTTATTATCAGGGCTACCATTGCAGGTCTGGTTTCTCTCAAACTAATGGCATAAAAGTTGGCAGAATATGAATATTAGTCTGTGACACCGTCACGAGTAAACTAGAAGCAGAATTCTTTACAATCTGTCTGCAGTTTGTGTTCCTGGTTGATTTTAACATTGCTTTCATTTTTGAAAGGAGCCTTCCTTGGGAATTACATTATAATGTTGTTTGTGTTTTGCTGCAGCCTCAACTGAAATAAGTTTATGAATTTGAGACTCACTTCTCAGCCATTCTGGGTAGATTTTGGCAGCAGACTTTACTAAACTCCATTACTATAGCTGCTGAAACTGTCCATCCTGCAGAAGGAGTGACTTCCCCCAATAATGAGCTGCAGAAGTGACATTGTGAATTTAAATTCTTTCTGAATTAGCTTCTTGTGCTGATGTTTTCCTTGAGTATTGTTGGTGTTTTGGAGATAGAAGATTTCACCCCCTAACCATTTATTGCTTTATTCTTCTTATGATTGGTTGCAGAGGCACAATTTGTTATTATTGCAACTTTTATATTCAGTACACGCCTTTTTCAGTACACCTCCATGTAGTAGGTTGGTATGGTGGTATAGTGGGGTTGGCACTCTTCCCTCACAGCACCAGGGACCTGGGTTTGATTCCAGCATTGGGTGACAGTCTTTGTGGAGCTTGTATGTTCTCCCTGTGCCTGTGTGGGTTTGCTCTGGTTTCCTCCCACAGTCAAAGATGTACAGGCTCGGTGAATTGGCCGTGCAAAATTCTCCAGGGATGTGCAGGCTAGGTGGATCAGCCATGGTACATGGGAATACTGTGGTGCTGCACACCTGAATGTCTTCCTCATCTTTTCGGTTGTACTTTGGCAATGAGATTATTCAAGTACTAAAACAAAGTTGCTGGAAAAGCTCAGCAGGTCTGGCAGCATCTGTGGAGGAGAAAACAGAGTTAATGTTTCGGGTCCAGTGACCCTTCCTCAGAACTGATGGTGGCTGGGAAAATGTCAGTTTATATCCAGAAAATAGGGACGTGGGTGGGGTAGGGAGTAAACGATAAGATAGAGCCCAAAGAGAGAGAAAGACAGTTGGACAGACAGAGGAGTTGCTAACGATCAGGCTGGGAGGGTGAATAGTTGTTAATGGGGACTGTTAGTGACTAACAACAGCGGGTGTCTAGTGGCAGGCAATGTGGTAACAAGGCCTGGTGTGTGGGGTCGGGAGCTGGGACATGGGAGAGTTTAGGCCCTAAAATTATTGAACTGAATATTGAGTCCAGAGGGCTGTAGGGTCCCCAAGCGGAAAATGAGGTGTGGTTCCTCCAGCTTGCGCTGGGCTTCAGTGGAACACTGTAGCAAGCCGGAGACAGAGATGTTGGCCAGAGAGCAGGGTGGTGCATTGAAGTGCCAGATAGTTTATTGAGTTTTTCTGAGGAAGTGACAAGAATGATTGATAAGGGTAGGAGAGTGGATGTTGTCTACATGGACCTTACTAAAGCATTTGACAAGGTCCCTCGTGGTAGGCTGGTCCAGAAGATTAAGTTACACAGAATTCACAGTGAGTTGGTAAGGTGAATACAAAATTGACTTGGTCATAGAAAACAGAGGGTCATTGTGGAGGGGCATTTCTCCGATTGTATGTCTCTGACCAGTGATGTCCAACAAGGCTCAGTGCTGGGATGCTGTTAGTAATATATATGAATGCTTTGGATGAACATGTAGGTGGTCTGATTCGTAAGTTTGCAGGCAACAGTAAAAATTGGTGGAGTTGTGGATAGTGAGGAAGGTTGTCAAAGGATACAGCAGGGCAGAGATCAGTTGGAAAGTTGGGTGGAGAAATGGCAGATGGAGTTTAATCTGGCCAAGTGTGAGGTTATGTATTTTGGGAGGTCAAATGCAAGATGGAAGGATACAGTGGCAGCATCCTTAGGAGCATTGATTTCCAGAGGGAACTTGGGGTCCAAGTCCATAGATCCGTGAAAGTAGCAACACAAGTGTGTAAGGTGGTAAAGAAGGCATACAGCATGCTTACCTTCATTGGTTGGGGCACTGAGTATAAAGTTGGCAAGTCATGTTACAGCTGTATAAAACTTCAGTTAGGCCACATTTGGAGTATTGTCAGCAGGTCCAGTTGCTACACAAAGGAAGAATGTGACAGCTTTTGGAGAGGGAGCAGAAGAGGTTTACCAAGATGTTGCCTGGATTGGAGTGTATTACCTGTAACGAGAGATTGGACAAACTTGGGTTGTTTTCATGAGAGCGTCAGAGGCTGAGGGGTGACCTGAAAGAAGTTTATAAAATTATGAGAGGCATGGATAGGATGAACAGTTGGAGTCTTTTTCCCAGGGTGGAAATGTCCAATACTAGGGGGCATAGGTTTAAGGTGAGAGGAGAAAAGTTTAAAGGAGATGTGTGAGGAAACCTTTTTACCGAGAGGGTGGTAGGTGCCTGGAAGGCGCTGCCAGGTGAGGTGGTAGAAGCAGATACAACAGCAACATTTAAGGTGCATTTAGATAGACACATGAACAGGTGGGGAATAGAGGGACACAGGCCATCTGCAAGCAGATGAAATTAGCTTAGAATGGTATCATGGTCACAGATGTGGTGGGCCAAAGGGCTTGTTGCTGTAATGTACTAAGGTCTATTGCAGCCCCCTACCCATCACGAATGGTGATCATGGCCTTCGTTTTAAGTCTGTGTCCTGGCGGTGGGACAGGACATACCCAAGGATGATGATGGTGGTGTCTGGGATGTTGTAATATATGAGTCCTCGAGTATGACTCTGTCAGGCTGTTACTTGACTAATCTGTGAGCCAGTTGTCCCAGTTTTGGCACTCACCCCTAGATCTTGATAGGAGGACTTTGCAGGGTTGACTGGGCTAGTTTGCTATTGTTTGCCATCCCTTAGTCAATGCCAGGATGACTGTCCAGTTTGAGTGCTTTTTGAGGCTTGCTAGGGGCATATCAGAGGGTATTTTACAGTGAGTGGGCCTGGAGTCCCATGTAGGCCAGACCAGGTTAGGACAGCAGATTTCCTTCCCTAAAGGACATATGTGAACCAGATGGGATTTTACAAAAATTGACAATGGTTTCATGGTCAGCACTATCTTTTATTCCAAATATTTATTGAATTTATATTTCATCATGTGCCATAGTGGAATTTGAACCTAAGACTTGAGAACATTACCGTGTCTGAATTACTAGCTTAGTGACAATACAGCTATCTTGACTAAAGTGCCTGACCACCAGTAGAGAGGGAAGATTTTCATTTCATTAGCCTGAGCTGGCAGCCAACCCTAGCCACACATTTGGAGAGTCAATTGGACATGGTTTTCCCTGTCGGTTAACAGTTAAACAAATATTATTTTACTAAACTCTCACAAGTGTATAATGATAGTTAATTAAAGTAAATTTTCTTTAACTTTCCATAATACAGAATGGACCTCCATCTGCTAAGTGATTGAGCTATTAATTTCCTCTGGATGACTGAACGATTTTAGCTGGAAAGGGGCTTTTTATTAATGAGCTGAACTTCTTGGCTACCAAGCCACTTAGCAGATTTCACTCAACTCCTTGCCTCCTTAAGAATAACAAAGTGTGGCAGCATTGTAAAGTATTGCTATTCGATCTGTCATTGTGATGATGAAGCACTTTGCAATGTACCTTGGAACAACATAACAAAATAGCCAGACACTTCTGGACTCCATTAAAAGGACAATACCATTTCTGCGTTAATTTAACCACCATGAAATAAACCAAAGCAACTCAGCTTTGATAAACAGAATCAGAAACAAGCATGCATGTCTTTCAAGTTGGTTATGAGTAAAACTAAACTTTTATGTGCAGCTGGTCAGGTATGTAGGTATAAAAAGGATTAAGGGATGTAGGGACTGGTTGAAACTAATATATTCGTCGGGAATTATTGCACTAATGTTCTCCATTTGCTGGTTTAACAGTTGTAGTTAAGACGATTTACAATGCATGCTTTGCATTATCATTTGCTTATTAAACAAGAGTCTCTGTTGAGTTATTTCATGCATAGTTCATAGCACTATCGGTAATGAAGATGCCAAATCGCACATTTTTTAAACTTGCGCTTTCCCTAATCTGCTTTCTGTATTCTTCTGAGAGACCATTTTATGAAACTGTTGGGTGCAGTGGGATACTGCTGTTTCACCTCTAACCCCGTTTGTTTTAAATCAAGCTCAAAATTAGACAATGATTCTCCTCTGTCTTCCATGTTCCGATGTGAAGTCCCCAGTGAGCATAATTGTCAATGCAATTCGACTCTGAGTTCCTTCATTTTTGTCCCCGCTTCCAATTTCGTCACATATTGTCGTGGCTGGGGAGTTGTCTAAATGTAACCATGGTTAACGATGCACTGTAAGGGCAGGGGGGCTCATTGGCTACATGACAAGTGTGTGGTTGATAACAGTGAGAACAGCAGGGGTTTAAGCCCCAGTTCTGGCTGAGGCAGGCTGGAGTTTCGTTTCTCGAGTTGCCCTTTACTGAAGTCATGGCTTAAACTGTGGCTTGCAACCCTTGAATAAATCAGGGTCGCAGCATACAGAAGATGAACTGCGCATTTTGGCGAAGGATTGGGTGGAATATTGATATGGAATATCATTGTCTCATTTCTGGTAGGTGAGGCTAATCCAATTGAGTTCAAATCCAAAATGAAAGTGTCTCTGACTTTTAATGGATGGAAAATCAGAAGGAATAAGGGAAAAGCATATTACAGGCCAATGAGGAATAAGCAAGGAAGTGGGATTGGTTGAATGGCCCTACTAAATACCATGCCTGAGTAGGATAGCCCAAATGGCATTTCTTGCGGGATAATTCTATTTGATCACCGTTTCCAAATTCCTGAGCGTACCTCCCAAGGGCAGTTATTCCTGAATCTGCTCCTAAGTGTTAATCCACACATTTGGAATTGTTGCCATTTGGCAGACGGGCTGCAATGATTTGTTAAAATCTCAGGATGTAAATGTAGCTAATAAGGCCATCATTTATTGCCCCTCCCTAATTGCTGTAAAAGTGGCAGTGTGTTGCCATTATGAGCCCAATTCAAAGAGCTGTTAAGAACTACTGTTACAATTCACTTTGCTATGCATCTGGGGACCGAAACAGATAAGGATTTCCTCCCCTGAAGGATATTAGTTATCAGATGGGTTCTTTTTATCTGGCAGTCCCATTGTTTCGTGGTCACTATTACTCATACCAGCTTTTTATTCAAGAGTTCATGTAAATTCTCAAGCTGTTGTGATTGAATGCAAAGTCCTGCCTCCAGATCATATTCCAGATCTCTGCATTGCTAGCCCAGTATCATAACCACAATCATAGAACCCCTACAGAGTGGAAGCAGGCCCTTCGGCCCATCAAGTCCACACCAACCCTCTGAAAAGCGCCCCACCCTATCGCCGGTGCATTTCCCATGACTAACCCACCCAGCCTGCACGTCCCTGAACAATACAGAGCAAGTTAGCACGGCTAATCCATCTAACCTACAGGTTAGATGGCTGTGGGAGAAAACTGGAGCACCACACAGACACAAGGAGAATGTGCAAACTCTACACGGACAGTCACTCAAGGGCAGAATTGAACCCACGTTCCTGGCGCTGTGAGGCAGCAGTGCCAACCACTGAGCCACCGTGCCACCAGTATAGTTATCATTAACGGTAACCCTTCTGGCCTTGCAAATTTTCCACTCACTAAGTGATACAGTTGTGAGAAGGTGGGGTCAGTTATTGGCACTGGTATGTTTAACCTGTTAGGAAAGTAGACTGTTTAAAAATGAAACACATCTATGCGTAGTGCATAATTTTGAAATGAGTGTATTGATTTTGTTCTGCCAGCACTTACGCAGGTATTTTAAAAATCCTTGCAGTTCATCAGGAAATTTAAACGCATCAGAATTCATGTTTGAATTCCCTGCATGAGTTGCTGCCTGTACTGACTTTAAGTGTAATCTGACCTCTTATACCAGAGTGGCCATGACCTTTAATTTCATGGCGCTTGTTTTGAAGTACCCACCTGTGAGGAGCCTGTTAGCATCGGGTGCGATAAGTCTTCCACCCCAAGCAGTGTAGTTCTCCTTTAAAGTCAGGGGACAGGTTGGGTGTTTTGAAACAGAGATAGTAGGAACTGCAGATGCTGGAGAATCCGAGACAACAAGGTGCAGGGCTGGATGAACACAGCAGGCCAAGCAGCATCATAGGAGCAGAAAGGCTGACGTTTCGGGCCTAGACCCTTCATCAGAAAAGCGGGAGGGGAAGGATGAGGACCTCATCCCGCCCCCTTGACCTGTCCGTCCTCCCTGGACTGACCTATCCCCTCCCTAACTCCCCACCTACACTCACCTTTACTGGCCCCATCCCCGCCTCTTCGACCTGTCTGTTTCCTCTCCACCTATCCTCTCCTCTATCCCTCTTCTATCCGCCTCCCACTCTCTCCCTATTTATTTCAGAACCCCCTTCCCCTCCCCCTTTTCTGATGAAGGGTCTAGGCCCAAAACGTCAGCCTTTCTTCTCCTATGATGCTGCTTGGCCTGCTGTGTTCATCCAGCTCTACACCTTGTTGTCACAGGTTGGGGTTAAAGTGTTGTTCTTCCTGGGGGGAGGGGTGATCTAGCGAGAGAGGTTAAAATGACCCATTGGGCACCCATCAAAAGCTTTCATTCCCCTCTTTCTGTCTGCTTCTAGTGCCCTTGGGGCTAATCCTCTGTACTGTGATTGTAACCTGCGTTGGCTGTCTGAATGGGTGAAGACAGGCTACAAGGAGCCAGGCATAGCTCGCTGCACAGGACCGGAAGACATGAACGAGAAACTCCTCCTCACAACGCCCACAAACAAGTTCCACTGCAAAGGTACGTTGTGTCGGAAAAGTGACTCAAAGTAGCCTCGTGCACCAACATGTTGGAATCACTAATCGAGGAGGAACATTATGGAGAGAAAGCACTTAAGCCACATCCAGGAGTCCATTTCTCAGGCTCCAGTATAGGTAGGAGAATCAGTCAGTCCAACTTGTACCATTCCTGACTTAGGAAAATTAATGATCAGAACGTCAGAAGTGTGAATTATCAATCACCTCTGTGTTTAATTCTCCGATATATGGTCCCATCCAATAAAGTTCTGCACGAGGAGTAGTCTACCCAATGTGTTTTGCCAATCAAATAGAATTCGGAACTGTGTAAGCTGGAAGGACTGATGTGTATGGGACCTACTGACACAGAGGTGAATATAAAAACTACGAACAGGAGTCGGCCACTCATCCCTTCAGGCCCTGCTGCACCATTTGATATGATCATGACTGATCTGATCTCGGTTTCAACTCCGCTTCCCTGCCCATTTTTCATGACCCTTTCACCCATTACTTGTTAAAAATCTGTCTGTCTCCCCCTTAAATTTACTCAGTTTCCCAGCGTCTACTGCACTCTGGGGTAGTGCATTCCACAGATTGGAGAGAAGTAATTTCTCCTTGTTTTTGTTTTAAGTCTGCCACCTCTTATCTTAAAGTTATAACCTCTTGTTGTAGATTGCCCCACATGAGGAAATGTCCTCTCTGTATCTACTTTATCCATCCCCTTTAGCATCATATATTAAATCTCCTCTCAGCCTTCTAAACTCCAGAGAGTATAGACCTAAACTGTGCAGTTTCTCTTCATAAGACAAACCCCTCGTCTCTGTAATCAATCCAGTGAACCTTCTCTGAACTGCATCCAATGGAACTACATCCCTCCACAAGGAAGGGGACCAAAGGTATTTCATAGCTACTGTTCCAAAAGAGATCAAGGTGTGCACATCTGCTGCCACAAGCTAACTGGCTTGTACTGAAAACTGTCTTAGAGTCATAGAGTCTTACCGCACGGAAACAGACCCTTCAGCCCAACCAGTCCATGCCAACCAGACATCCTGAACTGAACTAGTCCCATTTGCCCGCGTTTGGCCCATATCCCCCTAAACCTTTCCTATCCATGTACCTGTCTAAATGTCTTTTAAATGTTGTAATTGTACCCGCCTCTACCATTTTCTCTGGCAGCTCATTCCATATACGCACCACCCTCTGTGTGAAAAAATTGCCTCTCAGGTACCTTTTAAATCTCTCACCTTAACTCTCTGCTCTCCAGTTTTTAGACTCCGCTACCCTGGGGAAATGATCGTGGCAACTCACCTTATCTATGCCCCTCATGATTTTATAAACCTCTGCAAGATCACCCCATCAGCCTCCTTTGCTCCAGGGAACAAAGTCCCTGCCCATCCAGCCCATCCTGTACTCAATGCTCCAACCAATGAATGCAAGCATGCCATACACATTCAACATCACCCTGTCTACTTATGATGCCACTTTTAAGGAACTATGTACCTGCACCCCCAGGTCTCTCCATTCAACAATACTCTCCATTAACTGTCTAAGATCTGCAGTGGATTGTCTTTCCAAAATGAAACATCTCGCAATTATCGAAATTAAACTTCATCTGCCATTAAGCCCCCCGGCCCAGTTGATCAGATCTCATTGTACTCTTAGATAATCTTCTTCACTGTCTACTATGCCACCAATTTTGGTGTCATCTGCAAACGTACTAACCGTGCCTACTGTATTCTCATCCAAATCGTTTATATAAATGACAAATAAAGAGGAGGTGACACCTAATGGTATTATCACTGGACAATTAATCCAGAGACCCAGATAATGTCCAGGGACACGGGTTCAAATCACACCACAGCAGATTATGAAATTTGAATTCAACAAAAAAAACTGTAATAAAGAGTCTAACGATGACCATGAATCGATTGTTGGGAATTTCAATTGTCAGAAAAACCCATATGGTTTACTAAAGTCCTTTAGGGCAGGAAAGTCTGGCCTACATGTGACTCCAGCTCCACAACAATGCAGTTGATTCTTAAACTGCCCTCTGGGCAATTAGGAATGAGCAATAAATGGTCAATGATGTCCTCATAATGAATTGAAAAAAAGAAGGAACAACAGTGGACCCAGCACTGATCCCTGTGGCACACCACTGGTCACAGGCCTCCAGTCTGAACAACAACCCTCTACCACACCCCTATCTCAATATTAATTTGGTGTCATAGAATCTCTACAGTGTGGAAGCAGGCCATTTGTCCCATCGAGTCCACAATGGCATACCATCCAGACCCACCCTGTCCCTATCCCTGTCCCTGTAACCCTGCATTTTCCACAGCTAACCCACATAGCTTGCATAATCCCTAGACACCATGGGCAATTTAGCATGGCCAACCCACCTAACCTGCACGTCTTTGGACTGTGGAAGGAAACCGGAGCACCCGGAGGAAACACTCGCAGACACAGGGGGAATGTGCAACTCCACACAGACAGTTACCCGAGGGTGGCATCAAACTCAGGTTCCTGGCGGCTGTGGGGCAGCAGTGCTAACCACTGAGCCACCGTGCCACCCCAGTATCTTGAACACTCTCCTGCAACAAGTGCAGGGTTCATGCTGCGTGGGGAATACAGAATCATTATGCTTTGGGATTCCTGGATAGCAGGAGTAATCTAGTGATCTTGGGCTCCAATAAGATCTGTTCCTTTTATCCTTTCAGGTCCACTGAACATTGCTATCTTATCCAAGTGCAATCCCTGCTTGTCCAGCCCTTGCAAAAACAATGGGACCTGTAACAGTGACCCAGTTGAGTTCTACAGATGTACCTGTCCCTACGGTTTTAAGGTAAGAATGCAATTGGGAGGAGAGATAAAGATGGTCAGATTGCTCTCTTAGCTATCTTTACTAAAAACATTGCCTTGGGCACAAAATGGAGTTTAATTCCTGGATTGGAGGATTTTCACCCTAAAAATCTCTTCTATCGGCTCAGACATTTGCCACGTGGAATGTAAAATTTTCTAACACGTCCCTACCTCCCAGACCCAAAATTAACAATAATACCACGATCCTACTGCTGCATTTGTTAAAAGCAATCCTTCTACATCTGCTATCCATTTCCTCAGCTTTTATGATCTGGTTCAATTTGGCCATGACAGCTTTTGTTTTCTCTGGTTTGATGGAGACTTTCTTGTTTGGGAATGCAACGTATTTGAAAGAAATTATGTTTTGAGTGGGAACGTTACATGCTGTTGGATTACGATATGCTTTGTCATTTGGCTGCGCAAGAGTGATTTCATTTGCTCGTTTATAACCTCAAAGTACCCCTTGATGTTTCTATTTCCCTGTCAGTTTTGAATCCTTCCTGAGGGAATTGCATGCTGAGTCTCCAGTGAATCACCCTGAGAGAGTGATTGCATAAACATAGTCACTGTCTGCTATCACAGTAACACACTCAACAGGGACTGTCAGCAGATTGTTTAATAACAGGGGAGAAAGTTCACAAGTAGTGACATATTTGACCCCAACTTGAGCTTTCCAGGTTCTCAACAAGTCTATTTCCACATCAATGAACTTGTCAGACTCCATCCTTGCTTCAGATCCTCTGCTGCTCAAACCCTCATCCACACGTTTTGTTACCTCTAGATTAAACTATTCCAGTTCACTATGAGCCTGCATTCAACTTTATGCCCTCTGTAAACTCGAGGTCATTCCAAACTCTTCTGCTCTGCACTTAGCACATCAAGACCTGTTCATTTATACTGCCTGCACTCCCAGTTAAAGTTTGTATCCACTTTTGAAATGCTCCTGTAGGAGCAAGTTACTGCAGACGCTGGATTCTTTATTGAAAACAAAAAATTGCTGGAGCTCACAGCGGGTCCGCCAGCATCCATGGAGAGAGAGCAAGCTAATGTTTCGAGTCCAGATGAGCTCTGATGAAGTCATCCAGAAATTCAGCAGGTCTGGTAGCATTTGTGGAGAGAAAGCAGAGTTGGTGTTTTCAAGTCCAGTGACCCTTCTTCAGAACTTCAAGGTCACTCAGACTTGCTGAGTTCCTTGAGCAATTTCTGTTTTGGTTTCAGATCTTCAGCATCTGCAGTTCATTGTTTGAATCGAATTATTCACTTCCCATCTGCTGGGAACTGGGCTGGGGGGTGATTCTAATCTCAGCTAACAGAATCCTGAACAGCCATCTGAGAGAGAAGATCTCTGTCCTTTATCAGGTGGATTTCCCTTCTGAGGAGATGGTACATCCTTCTCCACCACTCTCTGATCTGTGTTCCATTGGCTGTCTCTGCTAGCACATGGTGTTGAATGGTGATGGTAAGACCTTTTGCTATTCTAAAGGTGTCCTTCCTCTGCAGAAGATGTTGACTCATGCTGGCTGTACTTCAGTTCCAAGGCCTAGCCATTTCAACCAGAGAGTGTTCTTCTTGTATGAGCTTCAATAGTTGTGGTAGGATATCAGACTAGGGCAGCACAGTGGCACAGTGGTTAGCACTGCTGCCTCACAGCACCAAGAACCTGGGTTTGATTCCACCCTCAAGTGACTGTCTGTGTGGAGTTTGCTCATTCTCCCTGTGTCTGCATAGGTTCCCTCCGGGAGCTCCAGTTTCCTCCCACAGCCCAAAGATGTGCTGGTTAGGTGCATTGGCCAGGTTAAATTGTCCTGTAGTGTCCAGGCTAGGTGGATTGGCCATGAGAAATGCAGGATTATAGGGTAGGGTCATGTGTCTGGATGTGATGCTCTTTGGAGGGTTAGTGGTACTTGATGGGCCGAATATCCTCTGTCTACATTGTAGGGATTCTGTGAACTCTGCAGGGAAGTGGACATGGGACTTCAGCCATATGTTCTCTGCTGATTTTCCAGTTGGTCCTGACTGCTATGCTGCAATTCCAAGGATATAAAAAATCGCATACACGTGCACTTTGGTTGAGAATATGATTGGAGTTCCTTCTGGCAGTGTGACCTCCTGACTCTGGTTTCTATGGCTCTACCTGACTCTAAGAAAGCAGTTCGCTCCCATCTGGTGCTGCCCAGCTTTTGTGTGCGTGTGTCCTGTTTAACATTGCTTTTAGTAAACCCCTTGTGGTAAAATGCAAATTAAACTTATGTTTGATGGCCAGTGCGCCTGAGTCGCTTACTAATTCTGTCCAGACTCAGAACTGGAAACAGACCACTTGGCTTTGGTACCAACGTCTTGTAACTACTTATCGGACCAAATCCCAATGTATATCACCACTTTCACCATGGGAATGGAAGAAATTGGAGAGGTTGCGAGGCACTGTGCAGCTCTGGATGGCTGCACATACATTAATCTGCCGGCTGGGGAATTATGCTCCTTTTCAGGGGACGTCAGTAATTTCTCTGATCCTTCTGTTCTCACAGGGCCAGGATTGTAGTGTTCCCATCAACGCCTGCATGAACAGCCCATGCCAAAACGGAGGGACCTGTCGCCTCAGTGAGGGAGAGAAGCGTGGATTCAGGTGCAAATTTAAATAATCAAATGACAAAGATGGATTTCAGGCCTACTGACTGTCAAATCGTGCTTTGTAGCTGGGAATTTAAAGGATAACCTAGTGTACAGTTCACTTGCACGACCCCATTGTGATTCCCAGCAGACACATCCACTACCCAGAGCCCTGCTGGTGTTACTGACACATCAAATACTCCCAGCCTATGAGTAGCGGAAACTCTCCCAGAGGAAGTGGGACTTCCAGTCCCTGGGCATCCAACGTCCAGCCCATCAACACCAACCATTGAGCCACCATGCAGGCGGCACGGTGGCTCAGTGGTTAGCACTGCTGCCTTACAGTGCCAGGGACCTGGGTTCAGTTCCACCCTCGGGCGACTGTCTGCGTGGAGTTTGCACATTCTCTCCGTGTCTGCGTGGGTTCCCTCCGGGTGCTCCAGTTTCCTCCCACAGTCCGAATATGTGCAGGTTAGGGTGGATTAGACCATGGTAAATTGCCCCATACCTGAGTAGGTTAGGCGGATTAGTCATGGGGAAATGCAGGGTCAGAGCAACAGTACAGGTCTGAGTGGGGTGTTCTTTGGAGAGTTGGTGTGGACTCGATGGGCTGAGTGGCCTACTTCCACACTGTCGGGGAGTCGGTGAACAGGCAAATGGTCATTGCATTCTTGCAGGGCAGCCATTTTATCCCCGGGGATTGTGGGAGGAGGTGGAAGTGGGGTATTGACTCCCTTGACAGTTTAGTCAAGGAGATGGAGAGCATGGCACCCTGTATAATTCAGTTCATGACTTCCAGCGATGGGATTTGCTTGGAAACCTTATTGCAGATTTGCTGGGCAAGTTCACATCTGAAGGATTAAAATGTTGAAAAAGTTACCATGGGACGTGGTACAGTGAACACAGTGGGGACAGAGGGTGCAATATTAACTTGATGACTTGGATCAGGCACTTTAGCTATTTGAATTTGGTGAGGGTGTTGATGTAGAATCTGAGAGTACTGGTACAGTAGGGAAGAGAAGAATCTGGAACAAAAACAAAGTTGCTGGAAATGCTCAGCAGGTCTGGCAGCATCTGTGGAGGAGAAAACAGAGTTAACGTTTCGGGTCCGGTGACCCTTCCTCAGAACAGAGAAGAATCTGAACTGGTTCTTGTTGAAGTATTCGAGATTACTTTGACCTCCAATGATACCTTTGAGGTAATGACAAACTCCACAATGATTGAACTGATTTTGAGTGCAAAGGTGAAATGTTTCAATTTACTTTGAGAGGGGTAGATTTATTGAACCAGATACTCAGCTAGGCAGTAAACATGTTGGCATATTCAAGAGGTAACTGGTGAGATATTTGTCCAACAGATTTATTTGAAATCACAAGCTTTCAGAGCCCTGCTCCATTGTCAGGTAAGTGACTTCACCTGATGCAAGCGCAGCGCTCCAAAAGCTTGTGATTTCAAATAAATCTGTTGGACTATAACCTGTGTCGTATGACTTCTGACCTTGTCCATCCAGTACAACTCCGGCACCCCCACATCATGGTGAGGTATTTGCCAGAGAAAGTGACCACAAACTGCCTGGGAGCTTCCTGGGTTTTATAATGCAACTGGTACACGGCACAAGAGTTCATTCATTGATCAGTCAGTCCTGTTTTGCATTTCTATCGAGGATTATAGAATCACTGAAAGCCCACTATATTAATTGTGTGAAGGAGAATGTAAATTGAAAATTGCCCTTGTTGTTTCAAAGAAAGGAACGTTCAGCAAATGGGGGAGTTTTTATTTGCAAACCAAACAATTGGTTGTCAGCTCTAATACAATGACAAAGTGAAGCCTTTGTGATCATTCATAATAATTCATTAGGAGGATGTTAAAATTGTATTGTGTTAACCTAAAAAAGGTTACGCAGTGCTCAGAATTTCAGCTTCAAAAATACCCCAGTGTAGAGTCTTCATCGGAGAGATGGTGGCAGATTCATGTCTTCGGCTGCTGCGTTAGATTTTACGGATCTGTTATCTTTTAAAAATGCTTTCTTCATTGCCTGGAGCAGAAAATGAAACTCTCATGCTCTGAAAGATGATAGTATCTGAAAATCTCCCAGGAAATTAATTTGATTTTATTGGGGGTTTATGGTTGAATGATTGCGTCTTTTGAAGTGTTATTTCTGGGCAGAGACTATGACTAAGCTCCCATGAACTTTCTGCAGTCTCGTATACTAGGTTCAGAAATAATAATGTCATGCTCTTGTCTGGCCTACTGCATCAATAACCAAAGCCCAAGACAGCTTTGTTTACTCTGGATAGGGTCCAATGATCCAGTGCAGGAATAAATATAATCTGTAAATGCCCAATAAAATTCACATTTTTGACCTTTGTGAATCTGCATTAATTTAGCCTTTCTTACCACAAATCTCTGGTGTAGTTAGAAAGTTGAAATTAAAAGTGTGTGGGGAATGAAGTCACAATTTGCTGATGTCACCATTATCTTAGTACAGGTGCTGTACTGTGTGCATTGAGATGCGTCTTTGTGACATTAGTACAGAATTTTACAGTCAATTCTCAATATTATTTGAATAAACATTAGTCTTGGATTGGATTGTCATTACTGAAGCAGGTAGCTCAAGACAGGAAATTTTCCAACCACCTCAGATCCCACCACAAAACTCTCTGGGTAGGTACAAAATGGAGTCAGGCCCACCATTTGGAGAAACAGATCCAGAAGCCAGATGCTGTGGGAGATTGTCAAGGCAGACTGGTTAAAAGGCCCAGCATGCTGCTCTGAATCCTTGCTCCACTTATAAAAGAGCAGTTAGGTACTCCAGCCCTCACTCACCCCACTGCCTGATTCCTTACTGCCTCCTCAATGCCAACGTGATGAACCCCACTCATGACCCCCACGACTCCTTACACTGTCCTTGCCAACTTGCCTAGTATTCATCATTGGCAGGGGTCATGTACAGCTGCAATAAAAGTAAGTAAGAAAAAAATAAGAAGAGCTCTCACTTTACAATCTTGGCAATGAAGGAAATTGCCATCTGTGAAGCCTTCTCATACCTTTTAAGGTAAAATCTCCTAAAAGCAAACAAACTTGTATTCATAGCCCACATCAAAAACAGCTATTTTTTAAAAATATTCTTTAAGCTGTCAAAGTCAGAGATCACTGAAGACGTTAAACTTTTGAAACTCAGTCAAGCTTTTGTAATAAAATGATAATAGTCTGTCAGGAAATGTTAACAAGCAGTACACAAACAGATTCCATATCAACTGGCCTGTCAATTCAAGCAATTAGTATAGTCCTTTTTAAACAATCACTGGCGTCATCCAGTTGTTTTTTTTCCTATTATTTAAAGAGTTGGAGACTTAATAAAGAAAAAATTTCAGTCAAACAGACCGACCTTCTTTTCAAGAATAGTTACATCTGCTCCATGAATTTATGACTCCACCCTCTAGGTTATGGCACTTACAACAGCCAGTATAGGGTATGCTTGAACTTCACCCTAAGTTCAAATGTCTCTGTTAAGTTCAAGTTCCTTCCTTGTGAATCGCACCCCTCCAATTTCCCTCCCAATGAAGGTGAGATCTGCCAGAAGTACCCACATTCAGATACTGCCTATATTCCTTTAAAAGGAAAATCCTGCTTTATGTATCTCTGAAGTTAATTTTCATTTCGTGGGAACTGAGAAATGATTGTTAGAAGAGGTTTTCCTTTGCCGTTCAGATCACTGCCTAAAGATTGCAGTCATTATGTCAGAATGGAGAGAATGAAAGCTTGGTCAAACCATTCTCATTGAGTTGGGCTGACCCTACTTACACTGAGGAATCGGGTGGTCGAGATGTCTCCACAGATCAAAGAGAGTGGCAGGTTAAGAAGTCCTCAGCTTCTTACCCAGCAAGAAGCAGGATGGCACAGTTTCTGGGTTATTTAGGTAGATCTATTGAGAGGGACAGTCAAGGTCTTGGGGGCAGAGTATCTTCAGAAGAGAGAGCTGGCCTTCTGGTTTACAGTTAACCACCTCATAATATGAGGAAGTTCAATTATTAAAAGCCTGATGTCATGATTCAATCCTGAGCAGCAGACATCCTGATGTTGCTTCACCAATGAGGCAGTACCTTAAAACAAACTGCATAGACTAGTCCTGAAATCTTCAGGACGGAGATTTTTTTTTCTTCTGTCTCTTAGACTAAACTCAAATCCAAATTCATGAAGGGAATAACTATGACAATTATTTAATCTGGCAGCAGTATTTAGCTCATTTGGCCGACGGAGCTGAGGCAAAGAAGGAATGTACGCTTTGTAAACTGAGACGAAGGGCAAATTATTTGTAATCAGATCCCCACATTCCTTAAATGGTGACAGATTGGAAAGTGTCCGAAGGGACCTAGAGTCCTTGTTCGGATTCCATTGGAAACTCACCTGCAGGTGCAGCAAACAATTTGGAAAGCAGATGGTATAATTATCTTTATCACAAGAGGAACTGAGTACAGGAGAAATGAAACCTGGAGTCAATTGTATAGAACGCAGGGGGGACCCTACCTGGAGTTTTGTGTGCAGTTCCGGTTTCCTTGCAAGTAAAGGGACATGCTTGAAATAGATAGAATAGAACAGAAGTTGACCAGACTGCTCCCAAGAATATTTTTTTTTAACTCATTTGTGGAAAGTGAGCATCACTGACTGGGCCAGCATTTATTAGCCATCGCTAGTTGCCCTGGAGAAGGTGGTGGTAAGCAGCCTTCTTGAAACACTTGAGTTGACCTACAATGCCATTGGTGAGGGAATTCCAGAATTTTGATCCAGCAACAGAGAGAGAACGGAGATATATTTGTAGGTCAGGATGTTGAGTGGCTTGGAGGAGAACTTGGAGGTGGTGGTGTTCCCATGTATCTGCTGCCCTTGTCCTTCTAGATGAAAGTGGTCTTGGGTTTGGAAGGTGCTGTCTGAGGACCTTTGGTGAATTTCTGCAGCGCATCTTGTAGATAGTACGCACTGCTGCTACTGAGCATTGGTAGTGGAGGGAGTGGATGCTTGTGGATGTAGTGCCAGTCAAGCGGGCTGCTTTGTCCTGGATGGTGTCAGGCTTCTTGAATGTTGTTGGGGCTGTACTCACATCCAGGCAGGTGGGGAGTATCCCATCACACTCCTGACTTGTGTCTTGGACAAGCTTTTTTTTGGGGCACGGCGTGGTCAGGAGATGAGTTACTCATCACAGTATTTCTAGCCTCAAAGAATGAAAAGTGACCTCTTGGAAAGTTACAGAATTCTTAATGGGATAGATGTGGAAGATACAAAAAGGAATATTTCTCCCTACTCTAGGTTCTAGAGCCAAGGGTCACAGTTTCAGAACGAAAGAAAAGCCGTTTCGGACTGAGAATGGTGAATCTTTTGAATTCTATCTCCCATGGGGCTGTGGAAGCTCACTCATTAACTAAATTCAAGAAGAGCCCAAAACTAGTTTAGTTTGGGATTATGTTCTCACCGAAGGATCTGTTTCTGTGCTATACGACTCAATGACTCTCTGACTTGAAATTGAAACTTAGAGAGTACCAAATGGCCTGGACAGAGTGGATGTTGCGAAGATGTTTCCATTGGTCGGAGAGACTAGGACCCGAGGGCGCAGCCTTAGAGTAAAGGGAAGCCCTTTTAGATCAGAGATAAGGAGAAACTTTTTCAGCCAGAGAGTGTTGAATCTATGGAATTCAGTGTCACAGAAGGCTGTGGGGGCCAGGTCATTGAGTATGTTTAAGACGGAGACAGATGGGTTCTTGATTGTCAAGGGGATCAAGGGTTACGGGGAGAAAGCAGGAGAATGGGGTTGAGAAACCTGTCAGCCATGATTGAATGGTGGAACAGACTCAATGGGCTGAATGGCCTAATTTCTGCTCCTATGTCTTCTGGTCTTATAGACTGAAGGGGTATGGGGAAAGCAAAGGAAGTAGCATTGAGATAATCAATGAGCTCTGATCTAGAATGGCAAGGCTGGCTTGGGAAACTGAATGGCTTACTCCTGTTCTGTGTTCACCATCCCATTTCTTATTGCTATTCAGCACTTATTCAGTAATTTCCAGTGTGTTTTTAAGTTCCTTTCACTCATTTTGTTCCAGATGCCTTTGTCCCGCAGGTTTTGAAGGGCAGTTGTGCGAAATAAATCCTGATGACTGCGAGGATAATGACTGTGAAAATAACTCCACGTGTGTAGATGGAATCAATAACTACGCCTGTCTTTGCCCACCCAATTACACAGGTATGGATGGAATAGCATCTCAAGAACAGGATTTCCAGCTGTGGAATTACTACCTGTTTAAAAAAACTTGAAGTCTCTTCTCTTACAGGGTTCAGCCAGCAGTGCAAAGCCACACAAAATAGGAACTACTCGTGTAGGCTAATCTCTGCAATCCCAAGCTTGGGAAGGGGAGTAGGAGTCACATTGCCAGTTCTGCGTTCCAATCGAGTGTCCTGTTTGAAAGTGTGTGTAAAGGCTTAGGACCCTGGAGCAGTCTTGCAAAGAAGTCACAGAGCTGCCCCTCACTGGGCGCAAACAGCAGAGGGTGGGCAGAGCTCAGAAGAGAGAGAAGGGGAACAACACAGAGAATTAGACAGAGCTTGGAAAAGCCTAGTCTTGGGAATGTTAGAAACTTCTGCAAAGTAGGCTGTGGAGTAGACTGACCAGCATGGGGTGGTTGAGTTTGTGGAATAGTTTTGCAACGCTCTAAGATTAGAGCCTGGTATGTCTCTGAATAAAGATTTCGCCTTAATATTACAATAAACAGTGTTATAGGGAAGACCAAGCCTGCACAAAGTTCTTGATTTTGCCTTCTCCTCAATCAGTTCATCTTGAACCCAAATTCATGGATGTGAGCTTAAAACAGCACCATAAAAAAAGTGCACACGTGTGGCCACCAAGTTGGAACAGTCTCCATTTTAATCCCCTTAAATAAGCTCAGAACTTGACCTTACATGGGAAGCAGCCATTTAGGAAAGGTTCTAGAGTAGGCATGGCATCCTGGACCATCAGCCTAACAGATTCTGGAGACAGGTGTTCATGTGGACAGTGGGTGTCTTGCCCTTTGCTTGACAAACTGCAGTGGGATCCCAGCATCACTTTTCTCTGGGAGGCTCCAATACTATTACAATCCACTCAGGCACTTCTGTGGACGGCATCCGTACACACGCTTGATTAAGTCCCCAGTACGGGAAAAGTCCCTCCCTCGAGAGCTGCCAATCAATCAAGCAAACTTTCTAAAACACCCCGAAATTAATCCCGCGACCTTTGCAGAGAAAAACCTTTGAGAAAATTGAGAAGAATCTGCAATAAAATGCACATTCAAAGAAAACACAGGGCGTTTCTATGTGGCTCATTAAAAAATTCTCTCCAGAGCGTTCTGCGATTTCTAAGCTTTCACAATGCGTCCCACATGTGCATATGCTTTTCATCCTTGAGAGCTGGCATGTGGTTCCCAGGCAAGGATTAACTCCCATCTAAACCACAAAGGATAGAGTCTATAAAGAGGATTAAAAACGGAGGTCAAATAATGAGGGTTTCCCTAATTCTAACCAGATCAGAGGCAACCCAACTCCATGGACAATCCTCTCACTTCAGCCGAAGAACACACACACAAGAGCCCTTCCCGGTAAGCTGACATAGACTCCATGATAAACAGCCCGAAACCTTCAAATATTACCTCTTTCCATGGTGAAATGGATATTAAAATAATTACTTTGCAATCCTGTATGTGTAACCTCGCCTTGGTCTTCCAGGGATGCCTTCAGTTCCCACAGTGCTTTGCTGTTCCAGCTGGAAAGCCAGACTGCTGTTAGTTGATCTGACTGAATATTGTCCCTGACTCACACTATTGTGTCCCATGTATGCACCTATCTCAATGTAAATAATGTAAATCTTAAAATGGGATGCTGGGAGTTAGTGGAGGTGGGTGATTTGAGACCTCAACAAGTGCTCAGCCTTGCCCCTTTTTGAGGCATCCTACAGCTAAGTGAGGGGTGTCATACTTAGGGTTATGAGCCATGACTGTCAGTGGAAACATCGTTGGTGATGGTGGAAGAGCTGGAACCATAATGGACAATGGCCACTTGCAAGAGGAGGATCCCTGAAGAAGAACACACATGAAGAAGGCAACAGGAAACTAGCAGGTTCACCTGCACATCCGCCAATGTGGTCCATTGTATCTGCTGTTCCCGATGTGGCCTCCTCTACATCGGTGAGACCAAGCGGAGGCTCGGAGACTGCTTTGTAGAGCACCTGTGCTCTGTTTGCGACAAACATCAACAACTTCCAGTCGCCAACCATTTCAACTCCCCCTCCCTCTCCCTGGACGACATGTCCATCCTAGGCCTCCTCCAGTGTCACAATGACGCCACTCAGAAACTAGAGGAGCGACAACTCATATTCCACCTTGAGAGCCTACAATCCAATGGTCTCAATGTGGACTTTACCAGTTTCAAAATCTCCCCACCCCCGGCCTCATCCCATGACCAACCCTCCCTCTCATCCCCGCCTCCTTGACCTGACACAACCTGTCCATCCTCTCTCCCACCAATCCCCTCCTCCCACCTCACTGACCAATCCCCACCGCTCCCTACCTGCACTCACCTATCACCATCCCACCTACCTTCCCCAGCCCCACCCTTCCTCTCGATCTTTATTTCCCAGCTCCCTTCCCCCTCCCCATTTCTGAAGAAGGGTCCTGACCTGAAACATCAACTTTCCTGCTCCTCTGATGCTGTCTGGCCTGCTGTGTTCCTCCAGCTCCATATTGTGTTATCAGGAAACTAGCTCATGTACTGTTTCTCAGTTGAATTGCTGGTTGAATTGAAAATCAGAAGCTCCCAGCTGTAGCTGAAGATGGAAGTATAATATGGTAAAGCCTGCAACAATATACAAAGAACAAATCTTTTAGGCAGATCACCTGAAGTTGAGCAGTGGATCCTACAATGTACATTTGCTGTAAGTCTTGCCCATTTCTGATGTAGACTTAGAACATTAAGATCCTGTATATGCATAGTGTTAACTTTATATCTTTTAGGACTTCCCAAATTGCTTCACATGCATGAATTATTCCTTGAAGTGCAACCACTGTTGTCATGCAGGCAAACAGCAGTTAACGAGCTCATTGGGAAGTGTCCCATGCAAAAATTGAGATAAAGGAACAGTTAATTAGTTTTTAGGAAGTGTTCGTTGTGGGAGGAAAGCCATTCTTCTTCAAATAAAGTCATCAAATCATTTGCAATTGCCTTAATGTGCAGATGGAGCTTTGGATTAACATCTCACCTGTTCGACAGCCAAGTAGAAATTTGGCTTGGACAGATGCAAAGATTATGTGCCACACCTGAATATTGGAAGTCAACTAAACTGAATGTCGAGTGGGCATTTAATGGGTGGTTGATGAGGTATCACCTATTTTTGTGCTAAGGCCTGGAGGAGTATTGGTTCTGGGGCTCAGACAGTGCAGCCCTCCCCAGGCTGTCCACTGGAGTGTCAGTATGGAAAACAGGTTCAAGCGTGGATTGGTATTTGAAACCACAGTGGGTCTAGCTAAGAGTGCTACCCTACTGATCCAAGCTAACCCTTCATGGAGCTGTCTAAGATATCTTTCCACTCCATGAATGATTTGCAACTCTATAGTTACAAACCATGAAGCGATGCCCTCCAGAATGCACTTATAGAGGTAGGGGGTGAGTGAGAAGATCAAGTTGATTTGCAAGGGATGGGTGACCACTGTCTCTGTTGTTTTGTGTCAGGCAATCAATTTTTTTCAAAGGTTCTCTGGCAGTTTCTAAAATATTAATCACAGGATTATTGCAATAAGGCTGGAGGCCATTTGGCCCATCATGTCTGCACCAACTCCTCAAACAAGTTTCATCTAACGCTGAGCTCTTATATTTTCCCCATACTCTTCAACTCTATTTCTATCCAAAGAATTAGCCAATGCCCTCTTGAATACCTCAATAGAACCTGCCTCCTTCACATCTCCGGGCAATGCATTCCATCCCTGACCTACTCACATTAGTTCTCACATCACCCTTGCTTCTTTTGCATGTTACTTTAATTACATTACACCCTCGCATTCTTGTTCCTTTAACGAGCAGGAACAGCATCCCCCATTCTACTCTGCCCAGCCCGCTCATGATTTTGAAAACCACAATCAAATAGAATCATAGAGTCCTACAGCATGGAAACAGACCCTTCGGTCAACTCGCCCGTGCTGACCAAGTTTCCCAAACTAAACTAGTCCCACTTGCCTGCTTTTGGCCCATGTCCCTCTAAACCTTTCCTATTCATGTACCGGTCCAGTGTCTTTCAAATGCATTCACCACTTCTCCTGGCAGTTCATTCTACATATAAATCACCCTCTGTGTGAAAAGGTTGTCCATCAGCTCACTTTTAAATCTTTCTCCACTCGCCTTAAAAATATGCCCTCTCGGGAAAAGACCTTTGTATTCATCTTATCTGTGCCCCTCATGATTTTACAAACTTCTATAGGATCACCCCTCAACTTCCGACGCTCCAGTGGAAGATGTCTCATCCTATCCTTATAACTCAAACCCTCTAGTATCGACAACATCCTGGTAAATCTTTTCTGAACCTTTTCCAATTTAATCGTAGCCTTCCTGTAACAGGACAACCAGAACTGTACACAGTACTCCAAAAGTGGCCTCACCACTATCCTGTACAACCACAATATAATGACCCAAAGCCTATACTCAATGGCCTGAGCAATGAAGCCAAGTGTGCTAAATGCCTCCTTAATCACACTGAAAAACCTGTGACGCAAATTTCAAGGAAGTATTTACCTCAACTCAAACCAAATCAATTCCTTGAAACTTGTAAGAAAAGTCGTGCACGCAAAAAAACAGCAGAATCGTGCAAATCTTTCAGAAATTTGTGGTGTTTCCCCAATTCACGGTATATCTCTCCATCACCAGAAATGTATATATTAATAATAGCTTGCATACTTAAACTTTGCTGTATTTTTCCCAGCAATTCCTGGTTTAACATCGAAGTGACCTGCTCCTTCTCTATAGGTGAACTGTGTGAAGAGGTTGTGAACTACTGTGTTCCGAGCCATAACCCTTGCCAGCATGGCTCCAAATGTATCTCAAGGGACAGGAAGTACAAGTGAGTACAATGTTTTATCATTTAACCATCAGATGACTCAATCTATCAATTTCCTAAGCGTTAACAAAAAGTTAAATGTCTTCACTAATTTTTTTCACTATCCACTAATTTTCCAACCTGAGAAAAGAGAACTTGTACTTACATAACACTTATTGGCAAGACATGCCAATGTCCTTCTCTGTCAGTGAAATATTTTTGAACTATGAGCAAACAAAACAGTCAAATTGATCAACTAAAAGATGTACAAATAAGAGGTTGTGATGACGATGTGGCTGTAAGAGGTGTGTTTTGTCCTGGTTTCGATTAGACAGAGATTCGGCAACTGGTGAGCAGCAGTCTAGGAGAAGATAAACAACTTGTGAGGCCTTGGGTTGTTTTTTAGTAAGTCAGAACAATAGAAGCAGCCTGAGTGGGTGTGGTTATGCACTCACAGATCCAGGATTTTTAGTGTGCTTTCGACAGCTGTTGCAGGATTGGAAGGCAGTGAATCTCTCCTGCTGCTACACTCTCTCTCTGAATTGTCTTTTGATGTTCTTTCTTCCTGGATTGGAGTACTGCATGTGAGACAATCAGTTTTCTGAATTTGCCTTTTTGTCAAGAGGTGTGTTTATGGGATGTTACTATATTGGAACAGTTAAATAGTCACTGTATCTATTATTTAAATTTTCCAATTGAGTTAAGGTTTCCAACTTCTTTCTTTTGTTGTATTTTAACTGTAGCGTTTGAATAAATTGTTTTGCTTAACATCGAGTAGTTTGACCAATCAAATTGCATCTGGAACAGAGCATCTGACATTTACCTTTAAAATAAGAAAAAAATTGGGGTCTAGACTACCTTCTTAATATATTTTGATGGGGTCTGGTCTGGTCCATTGCACAAATGACGTAGATTTAAGATGACTATCCGAAGAGCCAGAGGTGAAATGAGGATTTTTATTTTGAGATGTTATATATGGAATGCAAAGGATGGAGGAAACAGTCTCAATGATAACTGTGCAAAAGGAAGGGGATCAATATTTGGGGAAAAAATAAGGAATGAGTCAGGGATTGTGACAAATTGGACAGCTCACTTAAAGAATTGTAGTAATAGTGACTGTATCTATTATTCTGTTAAGTTTTTCAATTGAGTTAAGTTATTCTAAGTTCCTCTTTCTTTAATTTGTTTTGATTTATCGTAGTCTACCTAAATACAGTGAAAAACTTTGTTTTGTGAGCTGTACAGGCAGATCGTAGCACATAAGGACAGATAGATCAAAGGGTGCTTAGACAGAGTGAGGCGTACAGGTTACACTGCACAGGAAATGCACAAAGCAAGATCAACATTATTTGAAGTTGGACAGTCCATTCATCAGTCTGATAAGCCCGAGAAGAAGCTATTTTTGAGCATGTGTTCAGGCTTCTTTATCTTCTGCCTGATGGAAGAGGTTGTAGGAGAGCATTACCGGGTTGCAATGGGTCTTTGACAATGTTGGGAGCTTTTCCGCGGCAATGAGAAGTGTAAATGGAGTCTATGGATGGAAGGTTGGCTTCAGTGATGGTCTGGGCTGTGCACACAACCTTCTGTAGTTTCTTGTGTTATAATTTAACTATAGTGTTTGAATAAATTGTGTTTTGCTTAATGTTGAGTAGTTTGACCACTTGAATTGCATCTAGAATATAGCACCTTGCATTTGCCTTTGAAAGAATAAATAGCTCGGGTCTGGGCTACATTCTTAATATATTTGAGGGGGTCTGGTCTGGTCCATTACAAGGTGTATATCTCAAGAATCTGTTTTCACATTGCCAGTGATTGAGGGAATAATGTTGGCCAGGGCTCCATAAAAACTCCGTCTTGTGGAATGCCATGGGAACTGGCAGACCTCAAATTAATCTTGCCAACAAAAGAGGTACCTGATTTTTTTTCTGAAAAAGGGTCTAAGCCCGAAACATCAGCCTTCCTGCTCCACTGATGCTGCTTGGCCTGCTGTGTTCATCCAGCTCTACACCTTGTTACCTGACATCTCGTTCAGTACACAGTACACAGTTGCCAAGGATAGCTTTCGCTCTGACTTATAGAGTCATAGAGTCATGCAGCACAGAAACTGACCCTTCGGTCCAACCAATCTGTGCTGAACATAATCGCAAACTAAACTAGCCCCATCTGCCTGCTCCTGGCCCATATCCATCCAAACCTTTCCAATTCATATACCTACCCAAATGTCTTTTAAACATTATAATTGTACCCACATCCACTACTTTCTCTGGAAGTTCAATCCACACACAAACCAACCTCTGTGTAAAAAAGTTGCCCCTCGTGTCTTCTTTTAAAACTTTCTCCTCTTACTTAAAACGGTGACCCTTAGTCTTGTAATCCCCCATTCTGGGGAAAGGACAACTACCATTAACTATATCAATACTCCACACTATTTTATAAACTTCTATCAGGTTGTCTCTCAACCTCCTACGCTCCAGTGAAAAAAGTCCCAGCCCATCCAGCCTTTCTTTATTAGCCAAACCTTCCATACCCGCAACATCCTGGTAAATGTCTTCTGCAGTCTCTCCAGTTTAATAATATCCTTTCTATAACTGGGTGACCAGAACTGGACACAGTATTCCAGAAGAGGCCTCACCAATGTCCTTTTCTGTCCCTAAGAAAGTATATTTCTTTTACTCTGCATTTTGCCATGACTGAGATCAGGAAGTTACACAGATATTGAGTTCCACTACACCATCTTTCTGAGACTGCAGCATGACTAATGCATGTTATCAGATCAGTGGAGGTGAAATTGAATGTGTGAGGGGATAAAACATCAACAATCATAGCTGTTCACTCTGATGATATTGAATATGGTAAAATATATTTTGCACCTCCACCAGATTTTTCCAATTTCTCTCCAATATTTTCAAATGAAGGGTACACACCAATTCCCAACTATCCAAACTCTTAATCTTGCATGTCCTTCTATCCAACCTCCCTAATATTATGTATTTTCCCAACTGAGGTGTCACATTGTAAGCAGTGTAGCCAGAAAATAGCCATTTGTCGAGAGGAACATTCAAGGAGTTCAAGCACACTTCCTATCAGGTTTTGTCCCTCCTCTGCCAAAGAGAAGACAATTCCTCTGGGATTGATTGAGAATGGGAAGTCAGAATAGTGCGTAAACAAGCTGATGCCCCACTTCTCAATGGTGCTATAGTATGGCCCTCCAATATCCGTCCTTCGGTAGGTCTCCCTTACAGGTCTCGGTCAATGATGCTTTGAGTCCCTTACGAGCATGACAGAGCAGCTCAGGATGGCTTTCCCTCCCAATCCACCTTCTCTCTCCATGGGAACATCTTCCTGGGCTGTAGTTCCGCAGATACTTCCAACACCAAATCCAACAGACCCTTCTTCTTGTATGTGCCTGGACAAGGAGTAAGAGGAGGTCATTTACGATGAACAGACCTGGATTTCTCTTTGACCTCAATGTTTACACAGAGATTTTCCATACGGGGACCACTTCATTACAATGCAGTGCGGTCTTGTGATAAGTGCGATGTGCTGTGGAGTTTCCCTTAGTCAGCAATGAAATTTTTCCAATCTTTCCCATTTCCAACAGATGTGAATGCTTGCCTGGATACACTGGTGAAAACTGCCAAACTGATCATGACGACTGTGTGGAAAACAAGTGTCGGCACGGCGCACGGTGTGTTGATGCCATTAACGGCTACACATGTGTCTGTCCCACTGGCTTCAGGTCAGTGATGAGGTTTTCTATTGAGAGAGAAACTAGACTTCAAGCTGTGTCAGATTTGTATTAAATCCTGTTTTCACAGAATCCCTACAGCGTGGAAACAGGCCACTCAGCCCATATCAACCCTCTGAAGGGCATCTCATCCAATCCCCGTAACCCTGCATTTCCCCGAGCTAATCCACCTAGCCTGTGCATCTCTGGACACTAACCCAATTTCCCATGGCTAATCCATCCTAACCTGCACATCTTTGGACTGTGGGCGGAAACCAAAGCACCTGGAGGAAACCCACGCAGACACAAAGAGAATGTGCAAACTCCACGCAGACACAAAGAGAATGTGCAAACTCCACACAGACAGTTACCCAACACTGGAATCAAACCTGGGTCCCTGGCGCTGTGAGGCAGCAGTGCTAACCACTGAGCCACTCTGTTGGGTTGGTTTCTTTTTCTGATGTCCTCATTCCTATTGAGGTCGAGATCAACCGGTGTCTATTCTACTGGCACGTGCTTTTGGGCATTGTTGGATAAATGATACTGGTCAGATCTCTGTCTTTTGCAATCTTAACTACACTAACCAATGTTTTATTCGTCTGCTTTTGAAGTATGTATGTGTGCATATTTTTACATGTGTTTCTATACAGGTTAGTTATATGTCTCTGTATGTGTATATAATCTATATAATGCATTTATGGATCTGTTTCTCTGTGTTTCTCTGTGTTTGTGTGTATGGATGTTTCTATTGTTTACCAAAAGTTGCTTCTTTCAGGACTTCTATAAGAAGATCGTTTTTCATGAGGTCAGGGGCTCTGACATTAACCATTGGCAAGAGTTAGGGAGGGTGTCAAAACCAGACTGAACAAGGACGCTTGAATTGGTCCATCATTTGATCAATATGTATTTGGAGTTGTATGCGGGATCCCCCAGGGCTCTCTCTTTCAGTGCCTGGGGTGAATTTGCCTCCAGCTGGATGTTTACCTGATTTGGCAATGCCTACGTTTCTCCCAGAACATGAACCAAAAGTTGATATTAATGTAATAGAGAATAATCCAACTGTGCCATTCTGTCATTACATTTTTTTAATTTCAATTGAAGTTTTCTGCAGCCAAATGTTTGCTCCTTTTCCTTTTCTCTCCGAATGACTTTTGTTCGTTGCTTTGGTCTGATTGTGGTAAAGGTGGGAACATGTTCTGATCCCAGATAGAGACTGTCATCACCACCAACATCCCTTCCCCATCCACCCCCCCCCCCACCCCCGCACCCCTCCTCCCTCCCCCCACAATCCCAACAAACCCATTTCCAATTACCAGGGAGGACTGGAACATAAGAAACAGGAGCAGGAGGCCATCTGGCCCTTTGATCCTGCTGCGCCATTCAATAAGATCATGGCTGATCTTTTCGTGGACTCAGTTCCATTTACCCATCCGCTCACCATAACCCTTAATTCCCTTACTATTCAAAAGTCTATCTACCTTTGCCTTAAAAACATTCAACAAGGTAGCCTCAACTGCCTCACTGGACAGGGAATTCCACACATTCACAACCCTTTGGGTGAAGACGTTCCTCCTCAGTTCAGCCCCAGATCTGCTCCCCCTTATTTTGAGGCAATGCCCCCTAGTTCTAGTTTCGTCCTACAGAGGGAATAACCTCTTTGCTTCTATCTTGTCTATTCCATTCGTAATTTTATATGATTCTGTAAGATGCACCCCTCATTCTTCTAAATTCCAATGAGTATACTACCAGTCCACTCCATCTCTCCTCATCATCCAACCCTCTCAACTCCAGAATCAACCTAGTGAACCTTCTCTGCACCCCCTCCAGTGCCAGTACATCCTTTCTCAAGTAAGGAGACCAAAACTGCACACAGTACTCCAGGTGTGGCCTCACCAGCACCTTATACAGCTGTAGCATAACCTCCCTGTTTTTAAACTCCATCCCTCTCGCAATGAAGGACAATATTCCATTTGCCTTCTTGCTGGACCTGAAAATCAGTCCAGATTTTATCGACTCTGTGCAGCAGCCCAACATGAGTGAATGGATCAAGAGCTGAATCACCATCCACTATCAATCTGTGCCACCGAGCAGTACAAAACCTCATGCATTCAATATCAATTATATCTGATCCACAGAGTAAAAGGGGCTTGCACCCGTGACGAAATCTTAGAAGTCGCAGACATATTTACAGCCTGCAATGAAGACTACCTGAATACCAAACAGAATGCTGTTATTTATTATTCTTAAGTGATATTATCTTGGATAGAAGCAACCAGTCATAAGGAAATCATCAGGGTTGGCAACATTGGATATTTGCAAGCTCTGGGATTTCTGATTTACTTGAAAATTAATTGATTTGCTGACATATTGCCCTATTTGAGTATGTGGTGAGGAGCCAAAATGCCAAGTTACATGGTCACAGTCTGAGCCCATAGACAGTGTTACTGGAAAATGTCCTTCACAATGATCAATAACAGCTGAGAAGAACAGATTCATCAAACAGACACTGTTTTACATGAGTGCTAAGCACTTGAAAGATAGCAGGCACGTGACAAGTAATAGATATCTCATCACTTCATGCAAAAACGTTATTCAGTTTCATAAATACTGGGACACCAGTTGTAAGAACCAAACTTGTGAACCACCAGAACTATCACCTAGACATTGTAAACAGTAGCCATCATTGCAACTAAAACAGAAATTGCTGGAAAAGCTCCGCAGGTCTGGCAGCATCTGTGGAGACAATTCAGCGTTAACATTTCAGTTCGAGTAATCCTTCCTCAGAACACCATTGATGCCTAGGAACCCCAATAGTTATCTTCAATGACCATGTCACTGCCTGGGCTGCCATCCTGTCTCTCAGAACAATGCGCAACTTATTGCTCAGCACATATGTGCATGTTTCCACTGTTTAGAATGGGATATGGAAGACTTCATTTATTGATCAAATCTTTCTCCAACTTTCTGCTTTTGGTTGCTGTCACATTTCTAATTCAACTCAGTCAGAAGTCACACCATACCAGCTTATAGTCCAACAGATTTATTTAAAATCACAAGCTTTCAGAGTGCTGTTCCTTCGTCAGGTGAAGTGGAGGGAGGTGCACAGGCATGGAATATATAAGCGGAGAGATAATGGAAAAATAGTTCCAGGTAATTAGAAGTATCAACAGATAAGTACAAATAGTCTAAGTAGAGTGTCAACAGGCTCACTAACAAGTCTTCACGGGTGATCAAGTGTCAAACGGTGAGCGTAAAGTGTCAACAGCTAAATAACAAGTGAAGGGATGACCTAGGAACTGATTAATTAAGGCAGAAAGATTAATTGCAAATAATCAAAAATAAGACGGTGTCAGAGACAAATCAGATGGCTGGAATAACAGGATAGGTATTGGAGTCGCATGACAAGGGTCTAACCAAAGTAACAAGTAATCGAAAACTGTGCAAACTAATTAAGGTAGAGAGATAATCACAAGTAAACATTGACTCATGCGCAGGTATTTGTGTCCCTACTTTTGTCTCTCCAGTGGGCTGTTCTGTGAGATCCACCCACCCATGGTCCTACCCCGTACCAGTCCCTGTGACAATTACAACTGCCAGAACGGGGCTCAGTGCATCGAGGTACACAACGAGCCTGTCTGCCAGTGTCTCGCTGGCTTTGCGGGGCAGCGGTGTGAGAAACTTGTCACCGTCAACTTCATCGGGAAGGATTCATATGTGGTGCTTCCAGCCTCCCAGGTTCGGCCGCAGGCAAATATCTCACTCCAGGTAGGAATTTCAGCAATGTGACAGAGAGATGGAAGAGCCAGGTCAATGAGAATTACAGATGCTGTACCTGAATTCAGAGTTGATGACTGTGTTTGTGTTCTTTGGAGCAGACCACACACCATAATAAGATTTAGTTGACTTGCAGGATTTAACAGCATTCCTGGCAAGTCATATTCAACGTGGAATCATTGGACAGGAATGTTAGGCTCCTGCAATAAGGCAACAAAAAAAACAAAATGCTGGAGAAACTCAGCAGGTCTGGCAGCACGTGTGGAGGGAGAAACACAGTCAGTGTTTCAAGTCCGACAACCTTTCTTCAGAACCCCTGCCAAAGGGTCACTGGATTCAGAATGTTTTTCTCCCTGTAGATGGTGCCAGACCTGCTGAGTTTCTCTAGCACTTTCTGGTCTTATTTTAGATCTCCAACATGTCTTTCTTTTGGTTCCCTGCAGGATTTACAAGGATGTTGCCAGGGTTGGAAGATTTGAGCCAGAGGGAGAGGCAGAATAGGCTGGGGCTATTTTCCCTGGACCATTGAGGCTGAGGGGTGACTTTATACAGGTTTATAAAATCATGAGGGGCATGGATAGGGTGAATAGCCAAGGATTTTTCCCCTGGGGTAGCAGAGTCTAAAACTAGAGGGCATAGGTTTAAGTTGAGAGAGGAAAGATTTAAAAAGGACCTAATGGGCAATTTTTTCATGCAGAGGATGGTGCGTGTGTGGAATGAGCTGCCAGAGGATGTGGTGGGGGCTGGTACAATCACAACATTTAAAAGACATCTCGATGGATACATGAATAGGAAGGTTTTAGATGCATATGGGCCAAATGCTGGCAAATGGGACTAGATCACTTTAGGATATCTGGTCGGCATGGACAAGTTGGACCAAAGGGTCTCTTTCTGTGCTGTAACACACTATGACTCAATGATTCTACTCAATGAGTGCTATCATTTTGTTTTGGCAGCTGATGTGGTTCAAAGTTAAAGACATTGACCATTCTAAGCCTGTGGAAAGCTACAACACAAAGTGATCTTATGCTGAGGAGAACATTAACCAGGATTGTTCACTGTCCCCAGGCTTCTCTGGAAACATCCATTCCAAATTTATTTAACTTTGCATTATCGGCTAGCCCTCTGATTGAAATAACTTCTGGGTCATTCAGTCTCACACATGGTTTTGCAAAGTAAATGGCCACAGGGCATGTGCTGGGGTGTAGTTTGTGACATATGCATCAGGCCTAGCTGTACCCAGTAATACAGAGATACTATACCTTTTGGGATTCAGCACAAGGAATATTAAACACCGAACTGAATGGCCACAATGACTTTAGTAATGGGAATAAAAACCTGCAGACTGTTTGGACAATGAACAAGTTGATAACAAAGAGGATTGATGCAAAAATAAATGGTGTCCATTTGCAAACACTTTAGAATTCATTCTGGGATTTTCTTCACATGTTTTGCTCATCAAGAGATTGTGTTACAGATGTGACTGCCAAATATATGTTACAATGTAGGAAGGCACCAGTCACCTTTTCCTGTTTAAAGTAGATAAGGTTTGAATACCAGATAAAGCCACAAAATGCTAAGGTTTTGACGGAACAAATTGAGCTTTACTGTGCAAAGTTAGAAATGTGAACCAAACTACTCTAACATCCAGAATTAACATGGGGATAATTATGAGTTAAAACAAAAACAGTGGTAGAACACTGCACAGAACACAGCAAATAGCACATATGATCAAGATGTCCCTGTGATCCTTAAACCCCAAATATTAATAACATTGTGTGTCACTGATCTCATTAAAACAGTCTCCTCTTTATAAGGGATTCCAACTCTTTAGGAGATACAGCCTTGAAACTCCCTCAGAATTCTCTCCCAACATGGATTGCTTCAAGAACCCCTAACATCTTGGTCATTTAATCACTTCTTCTGAGACAAAGTTCCCCAGGACCACAGAGACTGGCACAATTTCAGCATTTATCATGCATCCATCTTTATCAAGGGGCCACAGAATTTCTCTAAGCTCCAATCTTTCTACGCTGCATCAAGAAAATACTGGTTATGGGCTTCCTGTCAACTGCACTGCAATATCAATGACGCCAGGTCTTCTCATGAGCTCTAACCTGCTGAAATCAATTAATACCAGCACTTGTGCTGCCTGCAGCTATTTGTCCTGTGTAAGCAAATTCTCAGTTCCAAATTAGAACTAACTCCTCTCCCAGCAAACACCCAGATAAATTGAAACCACTGAACCTCATACAGCTCCATCCATCTCTATAATGACATAACCTGCTCTGAACTATCCTTAGCCTGACGCATGGTTTAAGTATCATCATTTACAATTTTTTCTTTTATCTAATGAAGTAATTGGGTCTTACAACCTTCCAGAGCTCATTGGATGTTTAGTTTTAATTCTCTGGACATTACTGCAAGCAGTGTAGACACCATTTCACAAGGCTGATTCTGATCCCACCTTTCTAGCATTTAACCTTTGTAAATGATTCAAACATTTTTTTTAACTCACTGGACTTCAAAGATATTCAGATGCATTTATCTCAGTTTCTATTGTTAAAATTTAATTCCTAAAAGCAAACATTAATGCACTAAAATGCATGAATCATGAACTAGATATTTGCAACAATGAGAACAAAGTATTATATTATGGTCTCAGTGTAAGCCAGAACTCCCTCTACGATAACCCTCACCATGGGATAAATGCAGAATAATTCCCTCTGTAATATCCCAGCAATCACCCCTAGGCCAGTTGCAATATGAGTTTGATATTAAATTAGGCTTCCTCGAACTTTCCCAGTTTAGGTGGATTATAGAGATTCCCAACAACCAGAATTATTGCCTGATATGTGGTGACATGTGATGTGGGTGGCACGGTGGCTCAGTGGTTGGCACTGCTGCCTCACAGCACCAGGGACCTGGGTTTGATTCCAGCCTCGGGTGACAGTCTGTGTGGAGTTTGCACATTCTCCCCATGTCTATGTATGTTTACCCCAGGTGCTCCACTTTCATCCACATTCCAAAGATTTGCGGGTTAGGTAGATTGGCCGTGCTAAATTGCCCGTTGTGTGCAGGGATATGCAGGCTAGGTGGGTTAGCCATGGCAAATGGAGGAATAGGGCAGGGGGGTAGGTCAATGTGGGGTGCTCTTTGGAGGGTCAGATGGGCTGAATGGCCTGCTTCTACACTGTAGGGATTCTATGAAATTCTATCCTGGGAAGGACATGATCAGAACACAAATAATAGGAACAATATACAGGCTACAAATGGGACAGAGATCCAAAGTAAAGAGTAAATTTCAGGAGATCTAATTAAATATTGTCTAACGTACCTTCCTCCTAGGTTGCCACTGACAAGGACAATGGTTTACTGCTATACAAAGGTGACAATGACCCCCTGGCTCTAGAACTCTACCAAGGACATGTTCGGCTGATATATGATGCTTCAAGCTATCCCCCTACCACTGTGTACAGGTGAGTCACTTTGTACTCATTGTGTGGCCGGGTGGCCAATCTCAGTTGGTCTAGAGAGGACAGAATAACTTTCAAGAGGCTTCTGGTTGGCAAGGTTAGGTCACAAAATAACGAGTGGCTTAGAAAGTGGTGTTGAATTTTACGCGACGTGGATGAAATAATGCTACTGTCCTCCCATCACCTCAGCCCCTGAGCACAAATGGCCAAATGCGCTGAGGGTTGAAGACATATTCGAGCGGCTGGGTCATGGATCTATGAATATGTCATTGAACGTGTGGAGTAAAAGGTTGGTTATTGCTTTACTGAGCGTGTGCATAAGTAACTATGCCATGGTGATATCAGTTCACCTGGAACTGGAGCCTGAGTCTCTAGGATTACGAAAGATGTTCTCGCTCTCAATACCTTGCATATAGTTAGAGTTAATAAATCCTGTTGATGTTCACTCACAGAGAATGTAGATCTCTTCATACAACAGAGGGCGAGCTGCCATGAGGATAAATGCAGGGAGCTGGTCTCACACTTCTTTTAAAATTAATTCATGGGGATGTGGGCGTCACTGGCTGTACCAGCAATTATTGCCCATCCCTCATTGCCCAGAGAAGATGGGGGTTAACCGCTTTCTTGAACCACTTCAGACCATAGGCCCGCAATGCCAATGGTGAGAGGGCTCTAGGATTTTGACCCAGCAACACTGATGGAACGGTGATGTATTTCCAAGTCAGTTTGGTGAGCGACTTGGAGGGGAACTTGCAGGTGGAGGTGTTCCATGTATCTGCTGCCCTTGTCCTTTTTAAATAATAGCGGTTCTGCTTTTGCAAGGTGGTATCTAAGGATCTTTGGTGAATTATTACAGTGTATCTTGCAGATGGCACATGCTGCCCCCACTGAGCGTCAGTGGTGGATGCTTGTGGATGTGGTGCCAGTTAAGCGGGCTGCTTTGTCCTGGATGGTATCGAGTTTCTTGAGTGTTGTTGGGGCTGCACCCATCCAGGCAAGTGGGGGAGTATTCCATCACACTCCTAACTTGTGTCTTGACAGTGGTGGACAGGCTTTGGGGAGGCAGGAGGTGAGTTACTTGCTGCAGGATTCCTGTTCTCTGGGCTCTCCATTCTACACAGCGGAGCTGAGAACACAGATGAAAGCAGCCTGTTGAAAGTATCACTGGGTTCTGACAGGCAGAAGAAAAGGCCTGGCGAGGTTAAGACTCCAGCAGATAATTGTGCAGATGTAACATTTTGAGATTATGCACCAATTGCATATAGTACACTTTGTCTTTCAAAAATACCTTCAAGTTACTAGCTGTTAAGGGGAAAGAATTGGGAAATATAGTAAATGAAATATTTGAGTAAAAATGGCATTTGCAACACTGTGCAGGCATGCCATTAATAGGAATTACCATAGGTTTCATCTCATTATACTAGAGCTGCCTCAAAGGTGACAGTTTTTGTGGAACCCTGCCCTCATCTGTCAATTTGTAAATGTCATGATGACAGCAATCTGGTCCCTGATCAGATGGCTTTCAAAGATTGTCCACATCTATAAAAGCTGAGCGCAGAATAAAAGCAGCAAGAGTTCTAATTACATTATATTGATAAAGAAGGAGGCCGTCACTCACAGTGACATCTCATTAACATAAGATTAATGCCGTCCTACCTGTGTTGAACCCTCGCTGCTGAAATTAATTCCATTGGTTAATGCGCTACCCTTTCATTAAATGTCACACTGTTATCTTGTTAGCTCAGCAAGAGAGATGGTGCAAGATTTAACTATCTGCATCAAATTAAATCAGAACTAGTAAGAAAAGCAATCGGACTTTGGATCCCCTTAAGCTTGGAAATAAGTCTTGAAAACACAACACCCAGATGGCTAATCGAGGAAAGCTTCTCATTAAATTAGGGCGCCCAGTTTCCTAAGAGAAACAAAAAAGTCATTCTGAAATTCAGTAAAGGTTTGCGTACATTCTTGAAGAACTGTGCATGACAGATAGTAAATCATTCCTTGCACAGGATCAGATGATGTTCTGTACCTTTCTTCAGCATCACCTCAGCTTTCCCATAGTCTCGGATAGTAGTCTGTTTCATTGTCTCCCATGTTGCATTCCAAACTAATGTTCCCTTCTCCCAGGTAGCATCTTAAAAGGACAGTACCTTTCCTCTGTCATCATTTTTGTCTGCTTCATGTCAGTTCTTATCCACTCAGAACCTGGCTCTCATTAAATGTTATTTTCTGTTCATTTATTCGCTGGAAGAGGCCAGCACATATTGCCCATCCCCAGTTGCTATGGAGGAAATGATTTTATTGATTTGATTTGATCCGGTCCACTTGGGAAATTAGGGAGACAGATCCCCAGGATTTTGGTTCAGCGACACTGAAGGAACGGCGATGTATTTCCAAGTCAGGATGTGCGTTTGGAGGGGAGCTTTTCAGTCTGTGGCTTTCCCATGTATGTGCTACCCTTGCCATTCTGGACTGTTGTAGTGTTTAGTTTGGAAATTGCTGTCTGAGTAGCCTTGATGAATTTCTGTCGTGCATTTGTGGACAGTACACACTGTTGCTGCTGTGGTGGAGGGAGTGGACACTTATGGATGTGGTGCCAGTCAAGTGGGCTGCTTTGTTCTGGATGGTCGAGTGTTGTGGGAGCTGCACTCATCCAGGGCAAGTGGGGAATATTCCGCCACATTCCTGACTTGTGCCTTGGAGATGGTGGGCAGGCTTTGGAGATGAGCTATGCCGTCAAATCCAAAGTGGGCTGCACCAGTTCTATCCTTACATTAGACAACAAACATTTTGTTGGAAATAAAAGACTGTTCAATTCCAGAGAAACAGTCAGGGGGGAGCAAGATTTTTGAAGTTAATCATAATGGCTAAGACAAAGGACTGAGAGGTGACCTGAGTTTGGAGTCTCTGGGGTCAGACTTATACCAGCAAGGTGGCTTGCTTGAGTGGCGAAATTTCCCAATCTCAGCAGCCTCACCTCGGGTTTAAGGATGCTGGTGACACTCATTTCTTGCCATGGTGAGGCCCTCTGATCCTGGAACCAAATCCTCAGTTGTCATTTCAGTGCAGTGCCAAAGCTGGTTCGAAGGCCCATCTCTGTTCTCCAGTACTTTTCATAGAATCCCTACAGTGTGGAAACAGGCCATTCGGCCCAACAAGTCCACACTGACCCTCCAAAGAGCATCCCACCCAGCAGCACCGCCCCCCCCAATCCCTGCAACCCTGCACCTACCATGGCTAATCCACCTAATCTACACATCCCTGAACACTATGGGCAATTTAGCATGGCCAATCCACCCTAACCTGCACATCTTCGGACTGTGGGAGGAAACCGGAGCACCTGGAGTAAACCCACACAGACACGGGGAGAATGTGCAGACTCCACACAGACAGTCGCCCGAGGGTGGGATCAAACCCAGGTCCCTGGCGCTGTGAGGCAGCAGTGCTAACCACTGAGCCGCCGTGCCATGAAGTCAGGTGCTCATCTGTGAATTACCATTGCCATAGGCCAAGGCTACATTTAATATTTTAATATTAATTTTGATATTATCTTTTAATATTAGAATACTCACCTAACTCTACGATAGCGTGTTGCATCTGAAAAGCGGGAAGACTCAAACACAAGCCCACAGCTTCAAAGGAAACAATCATTTTCATTTAATCCAAAACCCCGGTGGGTTTGTGGCTGTTGGATTGAATTTAGCTGCATGTTCTGTGAAAAGTCAGTCGCTCGAAAGGTTTAAACAGCAGATCTAGCTGCTCAACTGAGCAGGATACACAGTTTGGTGCCTGTAGCTGTCATTATGTCAAGGCGAATGCCATGAAATAAAGACACAAAATATTGGTCGACTCCCTTCATCCAGTGCCAAGCCACTGTCTCTGTCTGTCTGAGAACACCGAGATTTACCATCAGTTCCTACAAGGCACCCCATCCAAACAAGACAGTGGAACCTTTAAGCTGTCCATGGGAATTAAAAATTCCGTGCCTTAAGAAAAGAGGAACTTCAGTCAGAATTCTCATGTGTTTTTGAGAAAAGGGAGGCTATATTTAAAGCAATCCTTGCATTTCTCCACCAGCCTTTCTCTCGGCGTTTCTTTTTTAAGGATCATTTTGACAGGGAGATGTCGACTTCTCTGGGGCCTCCTGTGTTTTTCTTTTAATATAGTAGTTAACTTGGCTGCCTTTCCTCGTGATCTATCTCCCATATCTGTGCGCTGCTGTAAATATCACTGCAGTCAAATGGCAGGGTTCTGCAGTTAAGTTGGAATACTGCAGCTCCCCCAGGGTGTCACATCTCACAGGACATGACAAGTTTCAGGTCTGTTTCCGATAGGCTCTAGTGTCCAGCAGCGCCGTCCACTGACATAGATTGTCTCATGCAGTCAGGAATTTGGCAGCTCTGCATGGAAACTGAAAGTTCATAACCCGATGGAATTACAAAAGAATCCCCTGCGGTGATCAGAATGGGATGCAGCGGCTTTGTGCACGTTGTCGCTTCCGATCTCTCGAAGCAGATATTTGGTGAGGTGATGCCAGTCATGAGGAGGTGTTAACTGCTTTGTTTCACATGCAGCTGTGCGGTTGCCGCTTCTCAGGACTTGTCGACAGCACTTCCCACACTTGTAACCTCCACCCCATCACCTCCAAATCTCCCTCGCAGCCACGCCCACAACCCTCACTCAGAACAGAGATTACCATTCTTCCACTAAGATGACAAGGTGTAGAGCTGGATGAACACAGCAGGCCAAGCAGCATCAGAGGAGCAGGAAGGCTGACGTTTCGG